TCCCCAAACATTCAGCTTTCATGTGCATCTTTTGGATTCATTCTATATATTATAGTTTTCGAGAAAATCAATGAAGTGTGAAAACACTGCTTTTTCGAACGTTGTCATTTCAGTTTTTCAACTTTGAATGCGTATTACAGCAATATGGATAAGAGCACAGGAATGTATCTATACTTTAGCAGATATTTGGAAAATTGCTCACTTCTATTAATATTCGCGCCTCCCCTTAGACAAGTGCACGCCTCCCCAGGGAGGCGCGCCTCACAGTTTGGAAAACGCTGCTCTAGGTAGTGTTGGACCTCCCGTACTTTAATAGAAGTAGATTGTATGCAACCAAATGTACGTTAATAAAATTTCAGGAAACTTAAAATTGTAAATGTATGTTCATATATGATTTATCAAGGGCACCGGAAACTGCAAAAGTTATTTAAATTTACTGAATGGATCTAGTACAGATTGAAAGAAAAATAAATTATGTAAAGAAAGAAACGAAAAGTATATATATATATATATTTTGCATGGCCAACATTGAGGACACAAATAATAATAATAATAATAAAAACAAAAACTATTTGTAATAAGGAAACAATAATAATAATAATAATAATAATAGATGGGTATTATGAACTAAACTATATAATAAAGTAGGAGGATATTTCCATTTATATTATTTTCTTTTAAAAATTATTATCACATGAATTTTCTCTTAACTTTAGTGGATCATTAATATTTATATATATATAAATATATAAACATGCATATAACTATATACAAAAAAAAAAGGAAAATAAACAAGAAAAAATAAACAATAATACATAAATAAATAAACTTAATAGGGAAAACATATATCCATATTTCTTTTCCTCTTTTTTTTTTTTTGGTATTTTCACTGAACAATTATGTATATTTAACAACAACCATTGACCGGTCAACAGTCGCTCCTCGACGTGAGATCCGCCAAAGAGCGCGGTTTCTTCACGGACAGAGCCTTCAGCTGTCGCAACTGATTCTGCGTGACCTGCATGGCGGAACCGTCCCCATTGGCCCCCAGGAATGAACGCACCTCGCTGAAGCTGATGTAGGACAGATCGATCTGCTCGATTCCCGCAGAGTTTTCACCGGTGGCGTTCGCTGCTGCTGCCGCTGATGTTGCTGCTCTGGGTCTCTTCGCTTGGACGCCAGCAGAAAGTTCACGTGATCTGCGTTTGTTTCTGGCAGGGCCCGAGGCCGGAAGCGCAGGAGACGACGCCGGTACCAAGGGAACACTTGCTGGACGCTTCGGCACCGGTATCACAGGAGCACTTGCCGGCCGCTTCAGCGCATCCTTCCTCTCATCCAATTTGATAAGCACAATTTTACCTCCTCCACTCTCCGAGGTATCGATAGTGATAACCTCACTGCTCGCATTATTCTCTTGCTGCGGCTCTTCCCCCGTCTCATCGTCCGAGTCCAAGCAGATGACTTCGTCGCAGGCGAGCGGATTCTGTGGCAACGTCTGTTGCCTTGACTGACCAATCTCCAAAATGTTTCGCTTTTTCATCAGCTCGTTTCTCCTGTTCCTCAATCTCTCCTTAACGTCGGCCAGTTCCCTGCACTTCGTCGATTCCGACGCGATGTGCGATCGCAACTGCAACATGCACTGCAAAACAAACTATCAATATCACAATGCATCTCTCTCTCTATTAATTCGTAATTTGTATAATTATACTCCTTACCCTATTCAACAGATCCATGTAGTGCAACTCGCACGCCTCCAGCATTTCGATCATGGTCTGCTTGAACACCGGATCGCACAGATCGTTGGACTCCAAACTGGATATGAGCTCTGAATTCTGATTCAGATTCGGATTATCGAACAGATAATTTGCAACATCGTTCATCTTCAATATTCCAAACAAGCCGACAATCTAAAATATGTCCATCAAAGTTATCAAATCTTACTTTTTATTTATATATTATTATAATAATACTTACACAGAGATGGGAAAAATACTTGGCATTGATAGTCTGTCGGCCCAGGGCAGTCATGTAATTCTGACTTTCGACGAGATTCACCACGATTTCGAAGGATTCCGGAACCATAATGAAGCTTGCTTTGATCTCACTGCAACGAAACATAATGTTTAATCTTTCAATTCTTGCAAACAACAACAACAAACTCACGTTTTCATCCACTGGATGGCATTGTTAATGTTCTTGAAGCATCGCCTGGAGATTTTCTCACCGGGCCAGTACACGTACTGCATGTTGTCCAATTTGTAGCCGTGCAAGAGACCGTCGTTGAAATTTACCTGAAACGCAACGGGCTCGGCGTCGTTGGGCAACATCAGATGGTTCGTCTTCATCAGATATTTCAGTCGCGTTTCGTACAGACTGTGCAAGTCTATGTGCAACTCCGGGCTTGCCGACACAGCAGCAGCAGATTTCGGTTCTTCGATTGCTGCGTTCGTTGGAGGTTTTGGAATCCGCACAATTTGCGGCATTAGGGTCAGAGTAGGTGTTGGTATTGGTTGGGTAGTAGACGTTGATGCTATCGGTTTCGGCGCCAAAGTGGGTAATGGTTTTAACGTAGTTGATGATATCTTCGGCGCCAGTTTTGGTAACGACTTTTGTATGGCTATTATCTGCGGTACGGGCCGTGCGCTCGATTGCGGTGAACAATTTACTTTTGTTAACTTCGGCGTTGGTACGGGCAAAGAAGACATTGCGGTCGATTTCGATCTCATCGTTGGCTTCAACAGAGGCATCACAATCTTCGATAACTTTGGTGCTGGCGATTGCGGAGACTTCGTGGTGGACGTTTTTTCCGTCTTCGGTGACTGCTTCGATGCAGACTCTTCTATCGTCTGGGCTACTTTCTCGTCGCAGATGTTCACCTTCAACACATTCGTTTTTAAGATTGACCTGGGCGAGCACGTCGGCATTTGCGGCGTGGGTGATGCCAGAAGCGGGAGCTGATCTTGCGTGAGATCTATGAAATCCGAGAGAATTGGTTTCGATGGCTGTTGTTGTTTGGGGCTTATCGTCAATAGTTTAGTAAATTTGTGCGGTGACATCGACGGTTTCGGCAATATCTCTTGAATATGTTTTGACGCGTTAATCATGTGCCGTTGTGACAACTGGTGGTTGTATTGTGTCCTCCGCACCTGATGATACCAACAACCATCTTCGGAGTCGAGCGAATCTGTGATCAGCTCATTGTTCGCGTTCGAATTGACCTTGTACACGTCGAGTTTCTCGTAGAACATGTACGGGCCGATGAAGAGAACGCTAGAGTATTTGGGATCGATGTAGATGCCGAACTCCTTGTGCGAATCGCTGAACGACATCGAATCTGTGTCTATGATCACAGTCTTGTTCGACTGCTTGGATAGTTTGAGGACTGCCTGTATGTCGCTCGACTTTATGCGATAGTTATTGCGGGCGAATGTCAACAGTTGGAACTTGGTGTTTGTCTGCAGCACGTACCATTTGCAGACGTCCTGCACGTTGGGGAGACATGCTATGTAGCCCATTTGTTCTCTGCTCGTCCATTTGCAAGGCAGTAGATATCTGCTTTGAAATATCCCGTGGGAGAAGATCACCTTGGGCTCTTCCTGTCTGGACGATGAAATCGTCGAAGTAGATGGAGGAAGAGGCGGCGGCGGCGGCGGTGACGACGCCTGTTGCTGCGAATCCACATTAATAGCAATACTTTTGGAATTATCACAAAGAGAGTCCACGTCAACGTCGACCACGACTAGATTCTCCTCTTTCTTAGAGTTCTTTGCGCAGATGCCGCAAATCTCCCAGTAGAGATTCGCCGTCTTCAAGATAACCAGTACGTCGTCGGGATTTTTACCACCGGGCGCCTCCTTTTCGTATATCCACTTGACCAAATCCAATTTTATCGGTGTATCCGCTGGCCGTGATTCGAACACCCGAATGTTCTCGAACCCGTTGATCGGTCGTTTCGTTGGCTCGGTGATAATATATTTGACTTTATTGGAAACGGGCGTCGCGTACCAGATTTGTATCAAGTTTTCTTCGAACTTATTCAGCAAGGACGACCACACGAACAGCATGAATTCGGACTTTTCTGGATTCTCACCCATGAGCTTCGCGAACTTCGCATTGATCAACGAACTGGGTTTGTACAGTCCGACGCTGCGTTTGTTCGGCGCAGACGAATGAAGCACCTTCGCTCTCTTTCGACGCTGTATCGCAAAGTCCTGCGCGAGTTGCTCACGCGTCTTCAGGTTCTGCTTCCTTCTGCTCTTCAACTTCGACAATGGCTCAAACAAAGTCATGACACCTTCCGATTGCGTTTTTACGCTGGTTCTCTCGCATTTGTCCGTGACCTCGACCCACGCACCTAACATCACTCCGTCGGGTATTTCCTCCGGGACTAGCATCAGCTTTTTGATCAACTTTTTCTTGAAGACTTTAGTGCGATTCCTCACCGCATAATAATCGGTCGAGATGCCTTTGCTTCTTGCGCACGACAGCACATCTATTTTCTCTGCTACGGTCTTCTGCTCCTTCGTAGATTGTATACGATCCTGCAGCATCTCCTCGTCGCGATCGTTCGAATCCAAATTGAGCAACGCATCGAACGGTTCCAATATCGGCTTTGCTTTCGTGTACTCGGCCTCTCCCTTGCAGTGGCAATCGTACAGGTAGTGCTCCAAACAGTACGGTATAATCTGCGGCACCTCCAGACAGCACATTCGCACGTCGCATCGTTTCGTGGCCTTTTTATCGTTCGATTCCCTCTCGAAATCCAATTCGCTCAACTCCAGATAATCCTTGTACTTTTTGGGCACCTTTAAACTCCGTTTCTTGCGATCGATGTTGTCGCCGACGACTATCGTCTGATTGTACGCTTGGATGACGGTCTGCGTGAATTCCTTTTCAACGCGCGCCAAATTCTTTTTCGCTTCATTCTGCAGCCGACTGACTGTCGTATCGGATAGGATGTCGGTGCCGGGCGGAACCAGAACTTTCAGCGAATTCGTATGGTTCTTCTTGAATTTGCACGTACACTCGAACATGCACTTGCTCTCGCCGCAATGGTCGGATGGTATCGCCACGCTGCTCAGACTGCGGCACACGCAGCCCAACTTACAGTACTCGTTCGGACAGTCCACCGGCTTTTCATCTTTCTCCTCGATGTTAACCTCGATGAACTTCACGTTCAACCGCTTCAGTTCGGAACTGGTTCGCTTCGTCGCCTTTTTGAAAAACTGCGTCCTTTTCGAAACCTTATTCGATGAACCGGCGTTATTCGTGCTATCAGTTAGAACTTCCACTCTGTCTGGATCTTCCTGTATTATGCTGCTCTCGATCTCCTTAATCTCCACGCAATTTAATAGATCTGCGACGACAGACTCGACCACCGAGTTCAATTCGCCTTGGTCGGTCGCATTCTCCGGCGTCTCTTCTGCTGCTTCTTTCTCCGTTTTCGCGATAGGCTCTTGGAGTAGTATATACTTTTGGTTGTGCTCGTAAGGAACTTTGAATTTGTACGTCTTTGGTTCTTTCTGGCGGGGTGGACACCGTAGAGCGGTCAATGCAAATTCGAGGCGCTCAGGTGTAATCTCGGAGCTATTATCGTAGTTTATAAATTGCCTTGCCCTTGGGTGCACTTCTTTGCCGAACTCCGGCGTCACGTGCAGCACTACTTGCGGCAACTCCTTGACGATCGGCTTCCAGTCTTTCGATTGTCCGACCACCAATGAGGCCTTCTTCGACAATGGACCTGGCCTATACTTCAATTGCGGCTTGACCTCCGTCTTGGCGTAAATCGACGGTTTCTTCTTCGGCATCTCCTCCAATTTCACCCTGTCCTCCGTCTTCATAGCAACTAAACTGTCGACTTTCGGCTTCTTGTACTTACGTATCGGAACGTATTTGTACATCTTCTTGGATCGTTCATTGTTTAGGTACACGTTTTTCTTATACTTGGTCGGCACTCTATACTTTTTTCCTCTATAATAGATCGTACTGTAAATCAATCCAGAATCGTCTGGCGGTGGAGGCGGCGCCGGTGTCGGAGCAGATACCTGTTGCTGATTTTTCAGTTTTTTAGATTTCTTCTCCAGCTCACCGGTTTCCAGCAGCTTTCGCTTCTCGGCCAGCGTTCTCGGTTTGAATCCGTTGATCTCTTTTTTCTGCTGCGGCTGTTCCTCTGCGCTCTTAACCTCAGTTTTCTTCTTCTTCGACTCCACTTCCAAACGTGGAATGTTGATGACAGTATCGTCGAGCAGGTTTATAGAGTCACGATTGCTCGACTTCAGGTTGGGTACGTTGTAGCTGATTTTGAGATCCTTCTGCTGGTCGAGGAATCCGTCTAAATTATTGCTGGCGAAGACGTTAGCGATCTGCGGCGGCTGCGATGTATCGGTTTCGTAACTGCACGACGGCTGAGGATCTTCCAGGTTCTTGTCGACATCGTAACTGCATGAAGCTGTTGGAGACGGGGAGCGCGATTTTATGGGTTCTTCCTTGATGAGTACTGGCGGCTTATCGTCCAAAGGCGGCGCATCGAAAATTATCTTTTTCCGGCGCCATCCTTTGATTTGTTTGTAATCTTTCGTCTTCGTCAAACTGATCATCCGGCTAGCGAGGGAATCATTCAACACCTGGTGATTGGACATCGTCGGTGAATCCCTACTAATAACATCGACTTTCTTGGAACCGCTGCTAACTTGGCCAATCGATGTTGAATTGTTCGCAATTGAATCGTCTTCGCTCTTCTTGGGCATTCGCTGCTCGTAAAAGTTACTTACAGGGTACGCTGCAATGTCCACCAGAGGATCCTTTTTCATTCGCAACTGCTGAAGCTGATTCAATATTTGCTGGCGCATATCGCCGGACGGAACGGAATTATCAGTCTTAGTGTTCTCTTCAATATTGTCCGATTCCTTTCTCTCGATTGTAACGTCCGATTCCGTTGTCTTCGCATTATCAAATGTAGAATTCGAATTGCTGTCATCATTTTGGGAATCATCATCGATGATTATCGTTGAGCTTGACCTCTCCTCATCGTCCATACAAACAAGACGTTCAAGTAGATTTGATGAATTCGAACTGTTCTCCTTTGAATCCGAAGAACTGTAGTCTTCCCCAAGCTTAGGGCTGTCCACGCACATTTCATCGTCCAGAGCCATATGTATTGTGATGTTTTTTTTACCCGATTCCATAACTCGATCATCCAATTCTATTACCTCTTCTTCGATGCTGATCTCCCTCACCATCCGTTTCTCCGCGACCGGAGGAACATCGTCACTCCTCACCTCTTCACTGTCGTCACATACCTTATAGTTCAGACCGACGATTTCCGTCTGCACCTCCGTCTCTTCCGTTTCTTTATCTTCATCCTGCAACTCGTACGTGGACCCGTTCGTTTCTGCCGGCTTCCTCGGATCATTTGCCTGCAGATTCTTGTATTCGGATAACTTCTTGATCAGATCGTCCGCGCTCAGTCCGGTCGATGATAACAACAAAGCGATCTGCTCCATTCTAGTTCACAAATGTTAAGAATTTCTAAAACAAACACATAACAAATTCTTAATTATACATTTAAAATATTTCAATTATATTTAACTAACAGAAATAAAAATTAAATTAGAAACCCGTCCGCCGCCATGTTGCGCGCATATGTTACGCCACTGCTCATCCGTAATTGACTGTTAAGATTACATCAATAAGAAGAGCCAATTTTTATATTTATTAAAACAAAAGAAAATTCATATCATTTGTTTTAAAATGTGCAGAACAACGGCAATCTAGATATAAAGAAGTAATCGATTTAATTGCAATAGATTTCGTACGTGTATTGTGCGCGTATAATGAATGAATGAATGAAAATGGATTCATTGAATAGGCAGGCGCTGACGTTATTACGCTTTCAGTCAATTAATCGAATATTTTTTATTTCGAATCGAAAATAAATGAATCAATTTAAATATTAAGCAATTAGTTTAATTTCAATTTAGAGGTAAAGAGATTTCGCACTATCCGTCGGTTAACTATCATTACGAAACCCAGATGCGATATATGCAATAGATCGAACGTTTTAACACCACTATGTAGCACCGACAGTCTTCACTCATTTTTTTTTTAATGAAAATCACACTGAACAATAACTTAGTGAAAATACTCACGATCCATGGAATTTTGAAACAATTATTAACCTACAATCACCGTCGTCCACCATAACGTACTGTCAAAATAATACACATGACGCCCGTCGTCGCACGACTGGGGAAGGGTGGGGAGGATGACTGATAGAAGGATGAAGAAATAGTATCCTGTTGCAAGAGGAATTCAAGGACGAAGAAACAACACTAATCCTTTTCTTCTGCCTATCTTCAATTGCAACGCGTTGTCTGTTTTAAAATGAGACGTCGTTCGATCGATTACGTAACACGCCCGATGATTGCCGCACACTTAAACCTGAGATCGTTCTCAGGCTGTCAGACGCCATCTTGTACGTTTAGGTTTGCACGCCAAAATGGCCGCCGTTGCTTTCCACTGACAAAACAGATCGATACATTGACTTAAGTAACAATTCTCAATAACAATTCGTATTCAATTTACACATGGAACTAATCAAATTCGTACCCTGAATTCGCATTGTTTTGACAAAATGTAATCTGATATTGTGTAACTTAATATTATGTAAAACATACTTAAGATCTTTCTTTTGAGAAGCAACTGTCAATGTACTGACACGATGGTATTAAATTCACAATATGGCACTCAACAATAAAACGACTTAAATAATTAAATACCAAAAACGCATATAGAAGATTTATAAAAATGTACCAATATGTAGTTTTTGGTGAGCCATGTAAACATTTACTCATGTATTAACACTCAATGATGCATTACGTAATGACATATACAGGTCCGGCTCGTCCATAAGGGCCTAATCTAATCAAAATTTATGACTGCCGATGGTCGAAGTATGTACTTGTAATAACATTAAATGTGGTTGTTTTCCAGAGCCACGTAATCATAAATCAGGAGAAAATGTACGACGCCATTTTGAATTTAATAATAATAACAAATAAATGGAGGCCATTTTGATGCGCATTAGTTGAGTGGATCGAAATAATCGATTTAAACAATAATGCGAGGAAGTTAGATAAACTTAGGTTGATGGCGTCGTAGGTTTAGGCGTATCTAGGTATAGGTGATGTGTCAAGTGACATCATCATTCCTAAAGCCTAATGTCAAGAAGCTTTTTCCGTAAAGGTTAGGTTGACTGGTAAGACAGAATGCTCGTGATCAGACTTACTGTTGCATCACAGGTCGTAGATAATACAGCACTTAGTTAAGACTGCTTAGAAGAGATTCGATGAAAATGGTGGCGGTGGTTCACGAAAGCGAGTAAAGGCACGAATTTAGGCACCTCGACGATGATGATATCAGTACCGATTCGCGTCGTAATGGCGGCCCGAGGCGCTCTCGCTAATTCATCAATTACGTCTGCAAATTCTGATTTGTCATCGTTCAAATGTTAAACAAATCCTCGATCGCAGAGTCATCGAAACTCACAGCAACAATTGTAGAAAATCGAAGGAGCGATGACGAGCGCTAAACAGAAAGGGCACTTATTTGAAACGTCAACGGTGCGTGAGAGCAAAGGGGAAACCGATGGAAACGCGTTACGCGACCTGCGGTCACGTAGCGCACGCGAATTTCGAATTTGCCGCCATCATCGAGTGCAGCATCGACCGGGACCATCGTCTATTAACACAGACGACGCGATAACGAAATAAATCGCATCAAAGAAAACGATCGTGGCGAGAATCTGATAGGATTCACTTGTATGAATGATGTGAAAAAAAAAACACTCACCCGTTGCTCATCGATGGTTCTTTGCGAATTCGAAAAAAAAAAATACTCTTGCCCTACACAGACTATCTTATACTTCGATTGTTAAGCTGCGTAGACGCCTGACATGTCGCCAATATGGCGGACGGATGTTCCGTTTCCCACGAAGCGCGACTCCATCTCATTCGAATTTCGCACGACGCCGTATTAATCTGATCCAGTGCATCAAGTTCTTGAATCCGCGTTTCGAAAACCACCGAATCCCCGATTAATTGATCTATCGAATGCGAAAGCGCGCGAATCCGAAACGGAAATTTCGAAAACTAGCTTTGACGCGCGCCTCACTTATTTTTTTGTTTACGTTAACCTGCAAACGTCAAAGCTGGCTTTATCCGAAAACAAAAACAACAGTTGAAACAAACAACAACAACAACAACAAAAAAGTAGTTGTTTATGTCCAATTTCCAGATGGATTGCAGCGTGTGCGGGGACACCTTCGACTCTGCCTCAGGGTTATTGAAACATTACGCAGACTACGTTCGCAACGATCTTCTGAATGGTTCTGCAGAAACGCAATCACCAAGTGCTCACATCAAAGCTCAAGTAAATATTCCAAAATATGATAATATAATTGTTCACTTAACTGAATGAGTTTAGGTTAGCAGTTACGAGGATGTAGATTCAGGCTTCGAGGATGTGAATCCCATAGCATTGTGTCGGGTCACAATGAACACCAACATGCAGAATATGAAACCGTTCAAATGCAATTTGTGCAAATCCAGTTTTACGAAGAGGACTGCCCTGAGTAATCATAAAATTAAGAAACATAACAGGGCGTTGCCACAACTCAAACCCATCAAGTTTTTCAAGAGGAAATGAACTGTGTAAGTATTTCATAATCTATTACTTTACTTTTACTTTAGTCATTAAATGCTAAGACTGAATAATTTCATAACACTTCTATTATTAAACAAACAAGTATTAAGAAGTGAAGATTTGTTTTCTAAATTGTTCATCTGGTAGATTCCATGTCCAAATTACTTTTAACACTATATCTCCACCAAATTTTATGTATACCATATCTAGTCATACGTCTAGTGATACTTTGATACAAATTAATGATATAACATAAGTATTATATATATACAGAAAGTTGTTTTATCTCAAATATAATTTATTTTTTAATGTTCATTATAAACCGACAGGTCTGATTATTTGGATGAAATAATTCCAGGTCAATGAAACAATTAGGGCCAATAAAAATGTGTAAATTAATAATAGGTAGTAATTGTGTTTTCTATCAATATATTTTTATAATATCTTATATTAAATATATATATATAACTTCATTTTTTGTTTGTTTATAATATTGGTAACAGAAACAACTTTCACATTTTGTATATAAATTAAATCACATTACGTTTGTTTATCTTTTGTATAAAAAGGATTGACTTAGAATGTTTTTTTCTTTCTCTTTCCTTGTGCTCTTCGAACTGACTCGTTGAGAAATATTAATAATAATAATAATTTAAAAAAAAAAACATTATTTTCAAACAGGAAGTAGGCTATGTTTTCTTTTTTTTGTAATCCTTTTCTCGTCGTCCTTCACCTTCCAATTCTTTTTGGCAACTAAAATCTAGGAGATGATCGGGTCGATGGAAACTTTCTTATTGTCGAAGCTGCGTCCGTATTTCGTTTTCAGGCCCTCCACGAACAGTTCTTTCAGATTTTGCAGACACCTGTAAACAACAGACGATTAATTGTTTGATTTGTCTGTTGTTGTTTGATGCCTTACATCCTGTAGATGGGAGACATCCGGAACTTGGCGATGTCGTAGCTGGGCGAGTGCGGCTGATGCACGATGAACGCGTTGTGCATGACCAGAAACTCGTAATCCTGACATTCCAATTCCATGATGTGCGAGACTTTGTTCCAGCCGAAGCCCATAAATCTACCATCGTACTCGGTGACGTCCCTCCTGACAACCACGTACGGCTCAAAATCTGGCTCCCATTTCACCTGGAACAATAATGGGGGAAAAAATGAATGAAATTGCTTTTAAACTGTGTTGTTAATTACAGTGTACGGAGACTTTGCGTTCCTCCATCTGGTGTAGTTCGTTGGCGAATGACCCGAAGCCCACACGTCGAACCTGAACGTGAAGAGCGACTTGTTCTCGAGCATCTGCAGCAGTTCCACCTTGTTCCTGGGGAAGCGATTCCTGTACCTCTGCGACTCGAACGCCGGTATGATTAACGCCTTTTTGGTCAAGCCTTTCGGACTCGCCGAGAGCGTGTTGCGAATGACGTTGTACAGCCCGAACATCGGCAAGAAGTCGATGTCCGCGAGAAACACGTACGGAGTGTTCACGTTTCGAAGACCGACGTTCCTCAACATGTTTATCGGATGGTAGTCCTAAGGATCATGCAATTAGAATCAATAATCGATTTCATAGTTAAACTTACGCCGTTCTTGAAGACAGCGTGATATGCGATGTTCGTCCGCTCTTGCAGTATTTCCGAGTTCTCGAGGTACTTGTTGGCCTGCTGAAATTCCGGATCTGTCACGTACAGAGTTAAACTGATTGGACCTGCAATCAACCGGAAAGTCAAGGAGAGTTATTGCGTGTATTTGTCGAAGAACAATCCGTACCTTCCCAGTGCTTGGTGAGCTCCTCCACCATCTGCAGTCTGTCGTATGATAATTGTGCCACGAACGTAACGTCGTAATCAACTGGAATGTACTCGAAATTCCTGAAGAACAGCAACGTTCGCCATTTGTTTAACGTGCCTTTGGTGAAGTCGTCGCACACGTCTCGCTGATTTTGCTGGATTATTGTTGTTTTGAGAATGATAATAATTCGAATTATTTCACGTTGCAAACTCACCGAATTATCACCGGAAATGTTGTGACAATCGTAGAGGACGCTCCTCACCAAATCCCCGTTCATTTCCAGGAAAGTCTTGTAGATGCTGCGGAAGTACTCTCCATCGCGGTTGTTCACGTTGAACTTCTTCGGCGAATTCCAATGCACAACCTTTTTGCAATAACTTTAGTTTTTCTTTCTTGTTTCAGAGAGTGAGTACCGTTTTGTATACCTTGATTTTGTTATTTTTGTAGCAGCTTTCGCTGCGCGTGTGATCACTCAGTTGGGTGTTCCAGTAGCAAGGCACGTCGTAGACCAGATGCGGATACTGCTTCAGCACTGTGTTCATGATGTCCTGATCACCCAAAGAGGTGGAACCGTACATCAGAGCCGCCTTCTTGCTGACGCGCGTCCACAGCTTATCCCACTGCATGTTCCTCAACCTATCCAATCGGTATAGTATCACCCCCGTATTGTACCTAACCAACAAGGAATCAGTTTGTTTTTTAAAAACTTAATTACGCTTAATTAAGTTAATTTTACCCTCTGCCAATTGCAGGCCAGATTGTGCTCTTTTTGGATAGATAGAAATCACTCTCATTCTCCACCAAACCGATTGCCTGCAATAACAATCTATATTAGAATGATTGAAATCACATCATTGAGATCTTTACATGAAGGTAATCAAAGTTGTTGAAGAGCTGCCAAAGCTCATCGATGTCACTGGTGAAAATCAAATCGGTGTCCAGGATGATGATTTTCTCAACGTTGGGTAAAACTGTGGGGAAGAGCAGCTTCAGAAGGCCATAGATACCAGAGTAATGAGAGTTGGGCACCCATCGGATGTCAGGAAGATAATCATTCATATCATAAAAACTAACGGTGACTGAAAATAATTTGATTTAATCTAAAAGTAATTGTAATATTGTATTTGGTTACCTTGGGGAATGTCCCAGGTCTCGAACAGAGTCCTGAGAACTTTATCAGAGAACTTGTTGACAATCAGGTGAAAGTGCAGGGGTTTGTTCCTATGGAATAGAATGGATTTGAGCAGGGTCATCAAGTACAGGTTGGACTTGTGGCCGGAGCACACGAAGCCCACATGCATCGGTTCACATCTCCTGCTCCTGTTCGTGTCATTCAGTGGGGGCTCATCGGTGGCCAGACTGTTCCTCAGATCAGAGTAGAGCTTGTGCGCTTTGAACGAATCTCTCCTTCTGATTGAGCCATAACTGTTCTTGGAAACTGACGAAGAATGAAAGCAAACAGTCCTGAAGAAATACGAGTAGGTGAAGGTCACTCACCTGCCGCATATTCGAAAAGCGAAATTATGAATAGAATAATGCAAATGATGAGTATGGAAATTATCCCACGTCTAGCCATAAATACACAGCGGGCATGTCTCTTGATTCGAATCCTATCGGAGATTCGAACACCGGAACGAGGAAACAACAACAACACTTTCACTAAATCTTATTGACTAATCCAGTTGGCGCGCTCTCTCTCTCTTCGTTACGACGACGACGACTTCGTTTGTTTTCCAATCACGCTGAATTGATAATAAGACAATTGTTAATATCCCGTGGCAACGACGGCCATTGCCCCACTAAAAAACCCCCCACCCCAACCCCTATCACACAGCCTACTACCAGCAGCAAAGTTTAATACACGCAAACTCGTCAGAAAATCACGAATTTCAACTTTGAATATATAACAAAACCGTTATGAATTGCAGTTCTAAAAGTATCCAAAGTTAAAATATTAGAAGAATTACAACTTTTGTGAAAATCTTTTATCAAATAATTTATTAACTAATGATTTATTTATGAGGTAGCACATAAGAAATAAATATTCTACACTGAAGTCTCTTTGGTCGCAGCATCCGTTGTCTTCATCTTCTCCGCTTCCATCTCGATTTTCGATGCGATCTCCTCGTACTTCTTCTGCCTGTATTCCTTTTTGGCTTCGTCCAGCAGTACGTTGTGTATCAGATTCCTGTTGGATTGCGTGTCTGGTGTTACCGATGGAAACGGATTACCTACAAACGAAATACATTATAGCCGAACAATGCACAATGAGCGGAAACGATTTGCAATCACCTCTGAGTTCCAAAACTGCTTTCAAATTCTTGTCGCCTGGATAGGGTCTGGGCGCCTTGTACAACCTCGAGAAGGACACATTGTAGTTCTGGTAACGAGGAGCCAGCACCTTGAAGAGCTTGTGCACCAGCTGCTTCTCTGTCAGCCAGTAATCAGCCATTTCCATTGTGGTCTTGTGGCAGTCACCATATCTGATGGCATCGGAGATCAACTGGATGGAAATTCGTATAAGTTATTTTAGATTTTCGAATTTGTATGCATACCCTCTCCGCGTACATGCGAGCCTCATCGGCCCTGGGGTAGTTCAGTTCTATCCGTTCGTGTTTGATCAGAGCGGTCACCGTTTTCCTGAGTTTGTTCAGGCGCTCCTCGGGGCCCCCCGGATTCCTGAATTTTCTCAGGCGCGGATTCACCTTGATTCGCAACTGCGAGACCAGCTTTGAAACGTCCGCCTGATTCATTTTTATTTACTAATAATTACTGAAATTAAAGGTTATAAACTGCCAGTCTACAAATTGTAGGTTAGATTACGAGAAAAAGTCAAATTTATCGTTCGTGTTATGCAACCAACATAACCTTTATATTTGATTACAAAATTACAAGAGTCAATCAAAGATCTGTTACAGCCTGAATTTAATTTTAACAATACTTTTGGTTAAAGAAAACAAACAGAGTTGATTTAGTATTCTTTGTTAAAAATAGTTTTATTAACAAATGAGATGCAAAATTATTACATGAAATGTTGAAGACTCGTATTTTGTATTTGTGTTTTTTTTTTATTTTTTTTTTCGTGTATTATTAATACGATTAATAAGCGCGTAATGGTGAGAGGAGACGAGAAAATAAATGTGAATCTAAAATTAATAATAAATTAATTAATATCCTTGGGATCCCTGGTCGCCCATGGACCGGACGTCGTCAATCTTCAGGATCATCTTGACCAGTTGAGTGGCGAGGATCAGTTGTTGCCTCTTGGAGCGCACGGATTCGATGACGTGTTGCTCACGCATGTTCATGTTTCCGGTCTGCATGCAGTCGATGCCGAGGGCCGGGTCATTGGTGCTGGACTGTTTAGCCTTGACGTCGGCCAATGCGTGGACAGCGGAGAGACCGCTGTTCTCGGCCAGAGCCAATGGAATACTTTCGAGAGCCTCGGCGAATCCACGGAAGGCGTACTGCTCCAAGGAGGCCAACTGATCGGCCTGTGCGGCGACGTGAAGGCTGCACGAGATCTCGGCGGCACCGCCTCCGTAGACGACGCGAGGTTCTTTCACCAGACTCCTCACCACGCAGATGGCGTCGTGAAGACTCCTCTTGGCTTCGGCAACCAACATGGCGTTGCCGCCCCTCACCAGGATGGTGACGGCGCGCGAGTTCGAGCACTCTTCGATCACCAACATCTTGTCTTTGGTTGTGCCGAAGGACAGTTCCCTGACCAAACCGGCTTTGCCCAATTTCTCGGCCGTCAACTCCTCGAACCTGGGGACGATCCTGCCTCCGGTAGCGATGGCGATCAGCTCGATTTCTGGACCACCCACCCATCTGATGGCAGGCAAATGTTGCTGCAGCAGCATATGGTTCGCTTCGTCGTCGAAGCCCCATTGGCAGATGGCCAACGTGGTACCGGCATCCTTGACGTACTTCACCATCTCAGCGAACTTCTCCTGTTCGTACTTCCTCAATTCCTTGTAATCTTCGGTGCTGGAAACATCCAACTTATGCTTGGTCTTTGGCTTCGGTGGCTCAAACGGGCAGGTTAGGATGGCCAATTTTACATCCTTCAATTCCTTGGGCATTTGAGGATGCGACATGGTCTTATCGATGACCACACCCTTAACCAACAGAGTATCTTCCAAACGTCCACCAACCTTTCCTTCAACTTTGATGAGTTCAAAGTTGACATCTCTGTTCTCCAGATCGGCGACAGCGAGGACGGCCTGCACAGCGATCTCGGCCATCTGCCTGTGGCATTTGTTAATGATCTTCGAGCCCAAAGTGGTCTTGGCCACCTTAATCAAGGGTTCCACGTTGTCTGCGGACACTGGGAACAGCTCGGCGATCTTGTCCAGATGCTCGACGGCACGTTGACAGGCCAACTCGAAGCCGTCGGCGATCCTGATGGGGTGGATGCCCCTGTCCAGAAGAGTTCCGGCCTGCTCCAACAAGGCTCCAGCCAACACGACGACGCCGGTGGTTCCATCACCGATTTCATCGTCCTGCGATTGGGACAACTGCACAAGGAGTTTGCCCACCTCGTGTTCTACGTCCATCATCTTCAAAATCGTGGCTCCATCATTGGTTACCGTGACTTCGCCTAAAGAAGAACAAAAAATTGACAATTAAATCGATATAAAGGTAATGAAAGATGTTAACTTACCATCAGATGACACCATCATCTTGTCAAGACCTTTCGGTCCCAAAGATGTGCGCACCGTGTTGGCTATCTGTTTGCCAGCATTAATATGTGACTGGAAAGAAAAAAAACATTTTAAATTTAATTATAAAAGAATATCAAAACTGAAAGTAATTTACAAATTTACCTTCAATTATTCATAAACATTAAGATTTAATAATTATGTTAAAATTAACATTGATTCTCAAAAATATTGATAAATGGAATGATATAATTTACAAAGATTTGGATAAAAAATCAGTTTAGTAAATGTTGATGTTCACAATTAACTTTAATCACAAGAAATTGTACTATGAATCATTTTATAAAATGGTGATTTCAAAGATTATTCTAGAATAATGACCAAAGATGTTTTTTTAGTGAAATTAGTATCATATGACATCGAAACTATTGAAAACGACATGAAAATGTTAAGTTTAACAAAAACTACAATACAAGAATACAAATGACAGACTGTGATCAAGATTCTTCTGGAACTATTGACATTTCTCGCCCTTTGCCGAGAAAATGTGAATATTCACAAATATAATAGAGGAATTGAAACCAGGTGCTAAATACGTGTGGGATGTAACGATTTTTTTTTTGGTCGTCATTTAGAAAATCTCCATTTTTCTTCATCAGATTTTAACGAATTTTCTAATAAGAGTATGCAATTAACTGGAACTTGCAACGTTCCGTTTCAACGATCGGCGTTGGCACGAGTCAATCAATATCATCAGAGAGAATTGCAATTGTTTATAGATCATCTTCAGGGAGGTTTCCCGAAACTAACCTTCAATGCATCGAGTCCGGTCAATCTTTTCTGCTGATCCTGATCCCGGATGATAATGAAGGGCCTCCCATACTCATCGAACGTTATACTACCCGGCATCGCCGTCATTTTCACCAGATTTCACTTAAAAACGCGGATGTTCGAAGATTCTTTCCAAACTCAAAGCCCAGAAACCCCGTGACAATTGCTTCTTGGGCCGGGATAACAAACGAACTGCGCAAGCCCACCCTGCCCACTGACACATGATTTTATTTTCTTCATTTTTTAACAGAAAATACCCCTCGTCACGTCTACAATCAAGAGAAACCCTATCCGAATTCAATAAAATAAGTCATAAATATCGATCAATTCTGATTTAACTAAATTTATCATAATTTCTCGTTAAAATTGACCTGTTTATATGGTTGCAGACATTAAATTATCTTTGACAATTAGAATTGCAAGCAACTTTATTTACAACGTTACTACAGTTATTTCAGTTGTACAACAATTACATTTATTATTTGTATTTACATTGATAACTGAATTCCACTTATTATTTAATAGATGTTTCACTTTATTTCAGTAAATGTCTGCAAAACCACTGCTGTAATTTGTTTGGTCCTGACAGCTGTCACTTTAGTCAGCTGTTAAATAATAACAAATGCAATTCGAAGTTTAATATGCTTGAAAGTGTTTAATTAGGTGTTTAAATTGGAGTTTCGGTGCGAAATGGAGAAGAACGACATTAATTTCCATCCCATAATCAGCTCCATACAGAAGATCGCTCTGTACGAGACGAAATCAGTGAGTATAAATCTGTAAAATAGCACACTTGATCTACTGTGTATATATGTTGTTTTCAGCATTTCTATTTGGTTGGTTCGAACAACCTTCAGACAAGATTCAGTGTGCTGAAGATTGATAGGACAGAGCCAAGGGAGTTGATTATACATGATGATAAAGTTGAATGGACACAGCAGGAGATCCAAGATCTCATCAACATGATTGACTCTGGGAACAGGCATTGTCTGACCAATGTGACTTCTGCATTTGGAATAGTCGGTTTGTTTGATGAAAGGAGTTTTTAAGTGAAGAAAGTGGTAATGATGTTGACGATGTTTCAGGATTCATAAGGTTCCTGGAGGGCTACTACATAATTTTAGTGACAAGACGGACCCGAGTCGCGGTGATCGGGCATCACACCATATACAAGATCGAGCATACGTCGATGGTTTACATTCCGCACGATTCCGTTCGGCTTTTGCATCCCGACGAGCCGCGATACTTGAAGATGTTTCAGGCCATAGATCTGTCCAGTAATTTTTACTTTAGGTAAGAAAAAGAAAAAGTTGTTTTGATGCAGGCTTTAATGAAATTCTTTTACATTCAGTTATAGTTACGATTTGACGCACACGCTGCAGCACAACCTGAGCTGCCCGAAGCGTATAATTCCGAACATTCTTGACGACAGTTTGTTTTTGGAGGAGAACGAACCGCTGAAGATTTACCCGCAGGAGAGCAAAAGCAAGTTGGACTTTGCGGTGCGTCCGAAGCCGAACAGGAAGTTCGTGTGGAATTCGCATCTGCTGAGCAAGGTGGAGAAGGTGTTGCATTCCGATTGGTTGCTGTATATTACGCACGGCTTCATCGGCCAATCGAATATGAGCGTTTTCGGTCGATCGATATACGTGACGCTGTTGGCTCGCAGATCGAGCAAGTACGCCGGCACCAGATTCTTGAAACGCGGTGCCAACTTTCAGGGCGACGTCGCCAACGAGGTCGAAACGGAGCAGATGGTCCACGATTCAGGCGTCTCCAGTTTGAATCAGAGCTACTTCACGTCGTTCGTGCAGATGCGCGGTTCAATACCCGGTCATTGGAAGCAGGACATGGGGAAGATGGTTGCGAAGCCGACGATCACCTTGGATCTGAACGATCCGTACGCGGAGACGGCCGGCGCTCATTTCAACGAACTCCTGAAGAGGTTCGGAGCGCCGATCGTCGTTCTCAATCTGGTCAAGAAGCGCGAGAAGAAGAAGCAGGAGCAACTGCTCAGCGACGAATTCAACGTCGCACTGAAATACCTGAATCAGTTCTTGCCGCCGGAGTTTCAGATACAGTACAAGACGTTCGATATGGCCAGGAAGAATAAAAGTAATTCCAACGTGATGGGTTCGTTGGCCGGCATCGCCAGATCCGCCATATCCAAGACCGGTTTCTTCCACAACCAACCCCATTACTATGCCCAAAAGCCACAGACGATCGTCGGTCAAACCAACACCAATTTGATGGTGAGTCCATCATACGTGTATATATTAATTTATAATTGTTTCGTGTGATTTCAGTCACGCAAGTACGGAAGCAAGAACGTTCCGAAGGTTGCGACGAGGGGCAGCCTGCAGACCGGTATAATTCGCACGAATTGCGTGGACTGTCTGGACCGCACGAACACGGCCCAATTTGCGATCGGTAAGTGCGTACTTGGTTACCAGCTATGCGCCCTTGGCATCCTGGATTCTCCGAACCTGGAATTCGACACGGACTGCGTGCGGATGCTCGAGAGTCTCTACGAGGATCACGGCGATACCTTGGCCCTCCAATACGGAGGATCGCAGCTGGTGCATCGTATCAAGACGTACAGGAAGACGGCGCCCTGGACGTCGCAGGGTAACGACATCATGCAGACGCTGAGCAGGTATTACAGCAACACGTTCTCGGATGCGGAGAAGCAGAACACGATCAATCTGTTCCTCGGTTTGTTCGTGCCCGATGAGAACAGACCGCAGATCTGGGACTACACCAGCGATTACTACTTCCACTTTAAGCCGCTCAACAGAGGTAATCTGTTGACGCAGTGGTGGGATCAGGATGTGTTCAAATCGCTGCCTTACTCGTACAACGATGCGACGAAGGCTTGCTCGGAGATCATCCAGGTGCAGAGCAAAGAGATCGAGATGATTGACGCTTACTCTGATTACCATCGACCCTATCAGCTGAGCGTTCTGAACGAGCTCTTTGCGTATAAAATCTGCAATTCTATTAGGGACTTTATGCCGAACTACACGAACAACTACAGTCCCTTCACCATCCGCATCCGGCCAGGAAGACGACGCGAGGAGACAACCAACAAATACGCAACGAAGAATCCTTCTCTGACCGGACAAAGTTCGACAAGCTCCACCACTTCGGGGACAAGGCATGCTCATTTCTTAACATTTCTCATGAATATATCATTAATAATTGACATTGAACATTCAAGCACCGATTCGAGCGACTGCAGTGACACCACCGATGATGAAACCAGCCTCAACACGAACGATTCCATCAGCCAAACCAAAGACATTCAAAACGAACTGATCACATTCGAGGGATTGTTCCCGAGCATGGGACAAGTCTATGGAACAGAAATAAGAAATCCGAAAGAAGCGGATCTTCTCTTATACAAAAGGTACATACTATATATGGATATTAATAGTTAATAAAAGTATGATTTAAATTTCCAATTAGGTATGTGATAACTGGGAGGAAGGCAACTAAACCATCAGCTATAACCAGTAGGAAAGTAGGTTTGAAACAGTGGAAGACGCAACCAATTACAGGTAGCAGTATGGAAGTTGATCCACCAAAGGTATCACCTGTATCCAGATCCATCTATGAAATGTATATAAACACTCCGATATGCGGCGGTTACCAACCGAACCCCAAAGACACGGACATTTACAACAACTACGTTAATTTTAAGATGTAACAAATAGGATTAATTAAATAAAACATAATGATGATATACTGATCAAATGCTCTTTAATGACCAAATATATTGATTATTTCGGCAAACGCTGATACTGCCGTATAATAATAAAAAATATGTAAGCGCGAGAACGTCTACTCGTCTACTTCAACTTCTTCTTTGGGCGCAAGTTGTTTGTGTGTCCACACTTCTTCTTGCGGCAGTTGGTGGCACGCGGGTGCAACCTGGCGTAGCACTTTCTGCAGATCATCTTGTCGCAGTTGTATTTCTGGGCCAAGATACGGAGGGATGGTTCGATGATACCACCACGGAGACGCAACACCAAGTGGAGGGTCGACTCCTTCTGGATGTTGTAGTCGGAGAGGGTGCGTCCATCCTCGAGCTGCTTACCGGCGAAGATCAAACGTTGCTGATCTGGGGGGATTCCCTCTTTGTCCTGGATCTTGGCCTTCACATTTTCGATAGTATCGGAGGGCTCGACCTCGAGGGTGATGGTCTTACCCGTTAGGGTTTTCACGAAAATTTGCATCCTACGAAAAAAGAGAACCACAAATTATTAACAAAAGAAAACTACAAATATACTGGGGGGTTACGGATAAATCGAATAGGTCAAGCAATCAGCGAAGCGACACGCACAGTAAACTTAACCTCACTTCAACCACTGTTTGGGGTTTCGGCGAGATTTAACGTTTTTTTTCACCGGATTTTACAATCCCACGAATTACCGATGGGCCTTGTCCAGTTGCTTGCTGTTTGCCGTTCGATTTAGAACGAAAGGGACGCTATTTTAGGAGGAATTTGCAAAAATCACTTACTTTCAACGTGCTCGGTGCACTTTCTACTGGAAAAGAAAAATGACAGCCGAATGTTTTCCCAACACTCTGCAAAATGGCGGCTAGATCCGTTTCGCAGCGAGGCGGCAATTTCAAAAACTAACCGTACCGGAAGCAACGGCAGAATTTTTTATTCAAAATAATACACAGAAAAGACAATTACTTGTGGTAATTTTAATCTTATCAATTAGACTTAATGACTGGTATTACTGCTTGATTTCTTATTAGATTTTTTGAAATATCCGTCTTCACACTGTACACAAGAATTTAATAAAAGTTGAAATGAAAGTTTACTAATTGACAATAATATTTAGTATATTAATGAAAATAAATGATTTCCATAAAATTCTTCAACAAATATATTAACTTAAAATAAAAACATTTAAGTATATGAAGTTGCCTATGTTATTTTTTACATAATAATTACATGAACAAGTTACAGCGACAAATGTTCAATAGATAATTTCAAAAAAAAAATATATAAGAATGTTACAATTAAAGTGCGTGCGCACACTTGAAAGTTTTAAACCTAAATATCATTGTGCAACTTTAATGAAACATTTCGAAAACTAATAATTTTGTTCTTAATTGAATTTGTTATTTCCTCAAGGTTTTAACGTTGATTTCTAAATAAACGAATGAGACGACGAAAAATATTGTATTTCAGAATTTATTTCTTTTTATATCAAAACAGAAGTTTGTATTTACACCATAAATTAATTAATTCAATTTTTATTTTCTTCTTTAATTTAATTTTCCTCTACGTTGGATATTCAATAGTGATGCTGGTACTCTGGCTGCTTCTCTTCCTCCAACTTCTTCTTGGGGAAGTAGGGGTTCTTCTCCGGGTCCAAGTTGAGTCTGAAAGTTGATTTGAAATGAAAGTTAGTAATTAAAATTGTAATAAAATCTTTTAATTATTACCTGTAATAGTTGACGGCCTGGTGGCAATCGACGTTGTACCACCAATCGCAGGCGAACTCCTTCTGGTTGAAGAGGGTGCCGTTGGTGCAGAGGAACGAAGCGCCTTGGTGACCCTCGCGACCGTCGTGGCAGACGTGGTAAGCCTTAAACAAAAGATGTCCCATTCAAAACAAATTCTCCATGGAAACGGATGAAACAGTAATTAAAAGAAACCATGGAAACGTTGCATCATCAATAAATTACGCATCGTTTCCATGAAGAAAAAATGAATTTATGAATTATTATTATACCTGGCAGCCGGTTTCTACGTTGGCGTACATTCCCGGATGCGCCGGAACATTGTGGCAGGAGAAGCTCGTCTCTGGTACGGAATGGTAGATGGGGTAGTCCACCCCTGGATGGCCGGGAATCTTGGAAAAATCTTGACCCTTCTCGTGCTCCCTCTTCGGTTTCTCAGCTACCAAATATTGCTGTTGCTGCAGCTGCTGCTGTTGATGATGACCGTAGTAATTGCCAACATCCTGTTTTAACCGAAGAAAAGATAATGTTTATAAAATATTTAAATATCAAACTGTCTTTGATTACAATTAGAGAGTAGAAGGCGTATGTCGGAAATGACGAGGAGTTTTCGAATGTGCGCAAATTGAAATTCAGAACAATTCTTAGAGAATGTAAAAGTAAATATTAACATCCGACTTTTATGCAAATGAAAATTGGCGACACAAATTCTTAAGCTACAAAAATCTAGGCTATTTATTGAAAATCAATGTAGAGAAACTTTCAAATTTGACAATTTGTGTTTTGTTCAAACAACAAGTTTGATCAAGTATGTATAGGAAATAATTGTTTTTTGTTTTGAAGATTGATTCGAATGATTGATTTTAAAGAAACTTACGATTTGGATGGCGCAGACGGAAAGCGCAAATGAAATAGCGAGCGTGATTCGCAACATGTTCGCGGCTCGGAACTTGGGTTCTCACTGAAAAACGCAGAGACGGAACAACGAACGTTCGTTGTTGCGTTTAGGCAAGGAAAACTTTGGCCCAAATTCGGAACCAGTTTTCGAATGAATGCTGCTGAACGCAACACGAAAAAAAAACCCCTTTCACTCGATTTATTGAACGCGAATTCAAACGTACAAAAACCCCCTCTGGCATTGTTACGTAAATCCAGATCACTTTCTCTATTCGTATGTGCCCGTGCTCTGACCTCAGTCGAACGAAATAATGTAACTAATGTGCGATTAAGAAATTAGTTGGGAAACAGGTGCAGAAACGATCATTTGACACTAAATAGAATGTGCGCAATTCCGTGCATTTGCCAGTAAAATCATTAGGAACTAATCAATTTTTCTAAATATAGAATTACAGTGATTTGTAAAAGAATTATCTGTAAAAATTGTGTTTCAAATGTATTTTATGTTTAACATATCAAGAATTCCAATATATAATTATTATTTGATTCTCATATGTTTTTAGACAAATGAAAACAAAGTTCAATAAATAAATAAATAAATTTAAAAGGAAACCTTCTATATTTATATAAAAATTCATATACAATTATTTCTATTTCCTACACAAAAAAAGGATCGTAGTTAACATAACATTCGACACAAATACGTAACAAGTATAACTAAAACCATGGAAACCAAAAGATACAATAATTAATAGAAACAAAACATGCTCGCTTTCTAAATTATCATAAAATGTTTTTCTTTCGTTTTTTTTTTAATTGTTCTGGATTAAAAATTGAATTGTTGCTTTTAATTTGGGAAATATTTTATTATCTTGCGTTAATTTATAGAAATAGATTCGTGTTTCGTTCAAGATCAATAAACGCGATTCGAATCAGAACGAAATCAAAGTTTGACGGAGAGTTGGTCGGTTGGTAACACTTGTTGCGTTGCATTCCATATGATATTATTGTGGTTTTTCCCCTGTTTGTTTATGTATCTGCTTGTTTGCAGTTTGTTGTCTTGTCAGTTTTCAGATTGAGGAGAAATCTGTTGATTCTGTTTAGAAGCAGCATCGTTTTACTACGTGCCAACGCCAGCCAGCAACGAAGATACAGTGTAAACAAACTGATTATGGCGGATTCCAGCTACTTCCTGAAGATCCTGAAGGAGAATGAGAAGCCTCGTAGCACTGAATTCCTGCAGCATAAGGAGCAGAGGTACGAAAGGCTCACCAACCAGTTCTACCTGGTGATGACGAGCCAGTACTTCAGCAAGCACAAGGTGGCAGAGAAGCTGGCCCTCAAGATTCTGCACCTTCTGGAGACAGATGAGTACCCGGACGAGTATTGCAGGGACTACAAGATGCAGAAGAAGTACCTGTCATATCATCTGTTCATGGCACGCAACAGGCAAAACACCAGCAAGGCACCGGAGAATTGCAACATGGACATGCACATGGAGCAGCTGGAGAACTTCCTGCACTACATCAACGTTCAGGAGTAATTTTTTACAGAAACCACAAAAACTACGCAGATTTAACAACATTAGTGTTTTGCAGTTTTAATGCTGCCACAAAGATTGCCACATCTGAGGTCAGCAAGATATTCAAAGAACCTGCACAAAACCAGGCCTACCAGATTGGCAAGTACAAGTATGCTGGCAACTGCAACATCTACATCATGATGTATTACTTCATGCACATCCAAGTTATGAATGAAATTAAGCATGATATTTTAATAGACTGTAAGTAATATTGCTTTGGCAGCAATCCAATATCATTTTTAAGGTTGTTACACATGAATTTAATTCACATTTAATTTATATCTTCATTTCAAAATAATAATAATTCCAATTGGAAAGTATGAAATTTAAGACGTTATCTATAAACCTTACTTGGGAGTATCTTAGCTTAGAACAATGAACATGTTTCATATGAAAATCATGAATTCTGAAGGTCGAATTGATAAATGATGATATGTTTTATCTCACAGTGTTTATCATCATTTATGGTACATTACTTTATATGATTTGTTCTTTTGCAAAGCTGCAGTCCCACTTGCAAATTAGAAATTTTAAAAAATTGCTGTTTGTAAGTGTAAATGCTTTATAGATATTTCAGTTTTGATTTTGATTACACTGAAATTTGAAGATTATCTCTGAGAAACATGTTTATGTGAAACAACCTGACCAATTGTTAGAAGTAGCATTAATTCGTAATAATTATTGATAATTAGTGCAAGTATACTTGGAGAAATCCATTCAACGAGACATCCATCTGCTGCCGCAAGCCTTCGTGCACTGTATGCGATCGGAAATGCCGAGATGCCACAGATGCCTCGGTACGACGTACGAGTTCTGCCTGAACGCGTTCTACGTGTACTCCATGATCAAATTAAACAGAGACATGAGCATAAACTTTGCAAAGTTCGACACGATTCCTGCGAAGTGGAATCATTCGATCTACTGCCCGATTGACGAGGAAAGGGAGCCGGTGCCGCCGACCGTCATACCTCTTCCCTACAAATTGTACGCACCGTCGCCTTCCCTCGATCTTTGCAGAGGTACCTTCAGCAATGTCATCGACACCGTCATCATCAATCTGTGCAAACGAAGCGTTCTTTGCGTGATGTGCATGTGTTACAAGGATTGGAGCATCGACAGGAGCAGTGTGATGTGGAAGAAAGTCGGTCAGCGTAGCACCACATTCGACATCAAGTCGATCGATATCCTCCTACGTATGGGCAACAATCTGACGATCAAGTTCAACAAGGATCTGGGAACGGACGGAGAGGAGACCGGCGAGGAGAGGGTTGTAGAGGAGGCGGCGGTGGTCAAGACGAAAGTCGCGAAGCAGAGCAAAAAGAAGAAGATGATCAATCAGATCGTGCAGACGAAGAGTCCGCTCAAGGACTGTAGGATCAAGCAGACGCAAACGTGCATGGAGGAGTCTGTGATCAAGGATGACAAGAAGCTCCAGCAGCGAGTCAAGGCGCTGGAATCGGAGAAATCGAGGATGCAGAAGGAGATGAACGATCTCAAGAAGAAGATGGACAAGATGAGCATGAAAACGTCCGACATCAACAACAAACTGCAAACGTCTCAGAATGCCCTCAAAGCACGCGAAGAAGAGTTAAAAGGTTTTAAGCAAAAGGTAATTTCAAATTATCACATCAAAATTGACAGCATTTGAGAGAGAGAAAGTCAATATGAGCCAAATATTGGATACATCATATCACCACATTATGTATTGGTTATAGGTGGATATACTGATGAATCTTAACTTGTCGAACGAGCAGAACGTCGCCAAATGGTCGTACGACTACGAAATACTGTGCACGAAATACAACACGCTGCAGGTGTGCTCGCGGGATTTAAAGACGCGGAATCAGGATCTGCAGGAGAGGTGCGACCGGCAGAAAGCGTACGTCCTGGAGAACATGGCACTGCAGCAGGAGTTGAAGAAGACAAGGGAAGCTTGCGGTCGCATAACCGGCGAATTCCAAGTGCTCAGGGAACATATGAACCTACAGCAGAATTACATCTTGAAGATATGCAACATGCTCAAAATGTATCTGTATAACGTGCTGAGATCGATGTCGGACACGTTGCAAAGGTACGATTTAAGCACTTGCCTTGTACTTGTATGATATGTTGATTGAATTATTTGTTTGGTTGTTCATGCAGATACGAGAGGAGAAGCTTGATGATAGTGATGGAGTACGAGGCGGAAACTGCGACTGAAGAGGATTTCAAGTTCATGCAGCACATGGGCGAGTTAAAAGATAAATTCAAAGAGTTCGAGGTGCGACGCGCGGCTCTCTCAAGCATAATCAGCTCACATTTCTTTCCGATTACTTTTAGATCAAGTGCAAGACCCTCGAGGACCTGCTGAATGCGAACAAGCTACTCGAGGTGGTCGATCTGCTGAAGTTGCAGGACATCGTTCGGATCTTCGAGCAGTTCCCAAACATTCTGTTCGATGACATGTCGAAAATGCAAGTGTAGCAAGTAGAACTATATTCTAAGTTTAGTAGTTTAGTTATCGCATGCTTGTAGAATGAATGTGCTGACGTTTGTTGTAAAATAATAATGGGGGATAATTATAATAGGATAATTTCGCTGTCCAATAAGAACGCTCGGATTCGCAAGCATCAGGAAATGGGTGCATGCTGTTCACTAGAAGGAGGAGGCGATCAGGTCAACTCATGCGAACACAAATCTGTGAACGAAGCGAACGAGTACACAGACGAGAACGGCAAGTACCATTTGCTCTTCATGCGTGTCAAGGACAACGTTTACAACGCCGAAAATGACGACATAATAGTTCAAGCGCTGAAGGAGATTCGCAGGAAGAATAACAATAGGATGAGCTTCCTCACGTACGGACAGATCGTGAACAGAGTCCAGCAACGTATCGACGAGTGAGTTGAACTTCTGCAACAGTAATATCAGCAATATATCAACTACTAAACTCTACTTCCGATATTTCAGTAGCGTCGAAGAAAACAGCTGCTGCATTTGCTTTCACGGTTATGACGATATTCCTATACGAGTGCTCGTGTGCAACCACAAGTTCCATAAACACGTACGCATCTTCCAATCTCCTATTCGATCTTTAATTTAAATATATAAATGTATCTTTTGTTTGTTTGTAGTGCATCGAGCATTGGTTCGAAACCAACAACGTTTGTCCGATTTGCCGTTCAGTCATATCACCTTAGGATCGATCTACAAGTATAGAAAGAAGGCTTCGCTAATTATCTTGCAAGTATATTCCAATACTTACCTTTAATTACTTAGAGCTAATTTGTTTTTTTTTTAATTATTATTACTACTACCTAAATTTTATTTTTATACTTTTAACGGATAACCATTATATTTAAATAACATTATGTTATTTATTTGTTTTCGTTTAGAATGCCTTTATTTGTTCTAATTATGCCAATGCTAAATAATAAACAATGTACGCAAATTGTAACGTTTCCCACTTCCCCGAATCCGTGATACACGAAAACTTTAAATTTAATTTTTAAGATTACATTTACAGTTTATATAGTCGGCAGCTGGTTGAGTTGAGCACTGCACATTTTCGCAGCTTGTAGTGTAGGGAAATTGCGATCATCTCAAATCAAATGTTCATTAAAATAAAGTTTATATACAGTATATACTTATTGCTAGGGAAATCCCCTAAAATTGAGGCGCGTATTTAGATTCGTTATTTGTTATTGGTACGACTGGTACGTAATCTGTCAAAAAAAATATAATGTTTACGTACCTGTTGCGCTTGGCATAGTGTTTACAAACAAACATATTTTAAAAGATTTTTGCGCTATGTCTGTGCAATTGATGTGCCTCACCTCAGGTGGAGGTTTGCCAATTTTCACGCGATGCAAGGGAAATACGGAAAACGTAAGTGCTCTGCACAAAACCCATTTATGACCAATTTGATTAATTGCAGTGCTTGTAGCTACCTTTTTCGTTGATCGGCTCCTTGAATGGAGTTCATATGTTCAGCAAATCGCAACGCATGGAATTGCTGAGCACCGTGACGAATGATTACACTGTGGTTTGGAAGGAACTCTACGATAGGTAGGTTTGCAGCTGTTTCAATGATTGTTTTCATTGATGGTGCTCTGTGTTTTAGTTTGATTTTCATCGGTATTGCAAGCGCATGCACAACTGAGGCTCTGACACAAGTGATAGAGTGTGCGGGCAGTGCAATGGTCATGGTCGTTGGAATGGATGAGATCATTGCACAGAGAAACATTGAAAGACTAAAACGTGAATTACGGGTAACATTTCACACAATTACATGCACAATTGAGTATGAAAACTTACCTTGTTTCATGTTGTAGGTGTGCTCACCAGTGATTGATAGATTGTTAGACTGCTTGGATTTTGGAGATGCAAATACAAATCAATCCACAATAAGTATAAGCGGCATGGTCAAGACGATACTAACACCTGAGAACCATCTGATAAAAGTGATCCATCTAACAGCAAAGCGAATTTAATTGTTTATATTTATTCATACTCGTAGATCGTTTTGGACACGTTCACGGAATGCATCGATTCGATGTACAGCTGTGTGCTGATACACGGTAAGCTGGCGGTGGCCACGGATAGCTGGTGGACGTTGCACCCGACCGAGATCAAACTTCTATCACTGCTTGCGTCGGCCGAGGGATCGAGCACCACGTCCAAAGACACACCCGTCTTTCTGCCGTTCAAGAGTCCTAAAGCGGCGTTCCGCTTCGTCACCTGCTCCCTTCTACCGGACGTTCAGGTGTGCTGTCTGTGCGGACCAGAGCAACAGCTGGAGGAGATCGAGAACTCCGCCGCCTACTGCTTCAAGTCGACGATGGAAATCCTCGGCTCAGCGGTGCAATGCCACCCGAGGAATTTCCCAGCGACCATCCAGTTGGACGCCGGCATCCTGGGCGTGCTGCTCATCAACGTCGAGTGCAGAAAGTACATGATGTCGAAAAATCCGCAACCGAAGAGGATCGTCAACGGATCGCACCGCTTGGACATTCTGAGAACGTTCTACTATCAGGCGGTGCTCGACGTTCTGCTCAGTTTGAGGGAGGACGTGGAGTCGACGGTGGTGAAGGAGACGTACTGGTGCTCCGAGTATCACAAGTGCTACGCTTTGAAGCAGCACGGGAACGTGCTGTGCGTGCTTTACAATGCGAACGTTCCAACGATGGTCATGAGGTCTCTTACTCGAGCCACGCTGAAGGTCTTCATGGCCGAGAAGCAGTTCTGCTGGTGAGTGCGAAGTTGTGTTGTGGGTCATTCCATGAGCTCGGGCGGGAAGGGCGGTACCGGGGGCGTGTCGAAGACTCTTTCTCTGCCCTGGTAGCAGCCAATCAGCCAAGCCGTGTAGATGTGGCTCTCCTTATCGAACTTGCCGCGATCCACGTGCGCCGTCTGCACCAACCTCAGCGGTATCGCCGAGACAATCTGCAAACATTGATAGTATTGCACATCATCACAATTATGTATAAATAATGTAAAATTTACCACCATGAGGAAGAGCGCGGAAATGTATCCGACGACGGTCCAACTGGTCTTAACTTTTTTCTCTTCGACGACGGACACGCATCCGGCCACGGATAGGCTGAAGTTGGCGTCGTTCGTGTAGTAGTACGGCCCTGCGCCTTCCTCTATCCCATGGTGGATGCACGGATACGTTGATCTGATGCTGCAACAGCTGAAAGGCGTCTCCCCGATCACTTCTTTCTTTCTGCAGAATACATATATAAATAATGTGAAATATAAAATATTTTTGGTATTTACGTTTTCTTTATGAAATTGGAATCGTACCACTCGACGTAATACCAGTCGCTGTAGTTGCGCGAACCGCAGCATTGGAATTCCACCTTGAAATTACTACAATCAGATGCGGTTAATGAATGATGAATGAAATTCACCTGAAGACGATCGATGGTCTTCTTCGTGTTGCCGTCCGTCGAGTAATTGCTCATCGCATGCAAGAAGTCATCGAAGTACGTGGGATCTGCACGAAGATCAAACGTTTCGTCATTATTGTCTCATCGATTGTATTTAGATTACCTGTTTTGTATCCGTAGAACAGTGCTAATCCTATGAGCGCGATGAGTAGGAGAAGCACGATGCCGGTCATGATGAGTTCGGAGAAGAGCATGTAACCCCAGACGGCTTTCTTGCTGCTGAAGACCTTGAAGGTGGTTATGATGATGATCAGATTTATGGGGAAGGTGAGCAGAGCCGAGAGCGAGAGCAGCGTCGGAAGGCCGTAGATCGTGACCTCCAGCAACGAGATGAAGTCGGTGAGACGTGTCCTGATCTCGATGGCCGCGTTGAACAGCTCGAACACGTAGATCATTATCAGCACGTTGAGGATGGCCGTTATGAAGGATATGATCCTGACACTCCTGTACGTCAACTGAATGATCGGCTTCCCATACTTCACCTTCACCACGTTCTTGAACGTGTACATCATTCTACCTCAATGAGACCATCGTCCCTAATGAAGAGAAGATTGATGTAGATATATATATAGAGATATATATGGAGATATGTAAGATAAAATTGTCAAATTTGACGGGTGTCTGGATGGGTGGCTTTTGTTTTATGGGTGATGGGGTCGCGTCTGGCAGCGGCCCTCTGGATGCGCGAATTGGATGGGCGGCTCGGGTGTAGCATCTGCGACCTCGCTCACACACACCCCTCCTCGTCCTCCACCACCACTCGCGTTTCCCTGGGGACAGCTTCCGAATCTCTTAAACTGATCGAAACCCAGGCACGTCCCTGTGAACACCTGCACACGCACACTGCAGGCTATTTACTCGCTTTAGTGGGCTAATTGAATTTGCAGACGAACCGCCTACGAGTAATCCTCGTGAACCATTAAATTTGTACAACAGTTACAAGAAAATTGATGACTATCGTTAATTACATTTCAAGTTTAAAGACTGTAACAAAAGTTCAGCAACGTTAGTCCTTGCATGGGTGATAGAACTTTGACAATTCTAAACTAATAGGTGATTTGAAGGAAAATTTTAGCAAAATTAAAGCAAAAAAGACTAATTTCTAGTTAATTTCATCATTTTTTGAATTCATGAATATGAAAATATTGATTATTATTAAAGGAAAACTAAGAACATGTTTTATCTTGAGAGTTTATTACGTTCACAATAAATATACAACAATTAAACTATTTACAAAGATTTATATATACGAGTTACATAGAGGTTGGTTAACTGGTTTGCTTCGCTGCATGTATGCTTGCATACATGCAGGCTAGGATTCGTATCCTAGGCGTCGAGGACGTGGTTCAAGTATGCTATGTAGCAGATGGCCAATCGGAGGATCTCGATTTTGGAGAGCTTCTTGTCCGGGGGCAGAGTGGGCAGCAGCTTTCGCAGCTCTGCGAAGGCCACGTTGAAGGCCTCCACGCGGATTCTCTCGCGAGTTGCGTGCGCTGTGCGGTACTTTTGCGTGGCCCGGCGCCTCCGCCGTCTCTCCTCCCTTGTCAACGAACCCATTTCGCCGCTCCTCTCTCTGCAAAAAAAAACACCAATTAAAAATCAAATTACTAATTAACTTTACAGTAGGCAAATAGTCAAGTTAACATAATAGAAATTTAATTAGCAAATTTAATCTAAGTAAAGTATAATGAAATCTAGTCACATGTGAAATATTAAAGAAACATTGAAATGTTAAATGTCAAATTTGACATACGTACGTATTATAGGAAACGTCAAATTATACCTAGGACATGTCTAATGACAATTTACAAACATCAAATTGTAACCAAACTAAAGTTATCTGTTCGTATATTGTCAATCATGAAAGCGTACACCTAAGGTCGTAAATATGACAAATTTGCGTACGAAGGCGATAAATTCCCGCAAACGACGTCGAACACTTTGCGAAATTTGCTTACATTTATTTACTTTCTTTTTTCATTCAGTCTACGTCAATGCGTCTGAGGATTTTACGATATTACTGTAAAAACATTATAAAAAATTACTTATTGAAAATTTCTACATTAGAATTATATTGAAAATAGCAAATATCATAAATTTAAGAAAGTTTTGTGCGAGAAGACTTGAATTTATTGGAATTGCATGTGGGGAAAAACTAACCTTTTCTTTGTGGAAGATGAGACTAAATTGCTGCAGGACGTGATGTTATGTAGAGTGTCTCTGTTGTCGTGGCCGCTCATTGCATTCTTTCATCTAGGCCGAAACGATAGTCCTTCTGTCAAAAAACAAATGAATGGAAGAAAACCAAAAAATCAAATAAGCGATAAAACAGAATAAAGCAGTTTCAAATAGGGTGGAAATGTGCAATTCCAAGCGAAGTAGAGAGAGAGTTTTAAATATTTCATATCGGAAAAGCATAAAGCCGGAATGGGTTTTGGATTTGTGGCCTCGTAAAATTTAAAAATTCATCATCGCGCCACATGTTTTCATAGCAACGAAGATCCTGTTTATTCTTGCATTCGCTTTTGTTTCCTTATCCGTTGATATGACTACTTGATAAATTTATGAAATATTAATTAGTAATTGGTATTTATTAATTACAGAAGAAGTGACCCAGAAGTAATAACTAAATTGATAAGTTTGCAAATTAACATGTCTTCAGGATGGATTTGCCTTCATTGCGATTACGTACTCGATCAGTGTTCGGTGATGTAATTGAGGAGGGTGTTGATTACCATTGCATGTAATTTTAATTGAATTATTGGGATGCGCGATGATCGAGGCCACGTGCGCTTACCCTCTTACTTTATGTTTCCCACTTCTTTTTTTTGTTGCCTGGGTCCGAGCATCCCGCGGGACCGACGATGATGATTAAGGGTGTTCATGGTCGCGTGACGATTTTCTCATGCATTTTTACGCGAAATCCCGGTGATTTATCGGTTATTTCTCATTTTATTCGCACCCCCAAGCGAAATAAGCCAATGAACGAAAAATAATATAGGAAATTTGGTAAAGACGTTCCCAGGAGATCGTTTCGAACTAATGCGATAATTAGATTACATTCGACGTTTTCTGCTAAACAAACATTGCGCAAAGAAAGGGTTGAGTGTATCTTTCTTATTTTGTCCAAAAAAAAAATATCTTATAAGAAATGGAATAATAACTTGTAACTCTATTGTTATCGAAATTTGCTAGATAGATATTTAATCAAAAGTAACCATGGTAACTAACCGTATATTGTTTGATTCTGTAAAGGGGGTGTCGGCATAAAAAAAATAATTAAGTAGTCATGGTAACTAAACTCATATTGTTTAATTTTTGGAATTGATCTTAAGTAAACATTATTTTGAATTTACACTCATTCAACAATTTCAAACAGTTTTAGTTTTAAAGAAATATAAGCAAATGATAATTAAAAATTTGAAGAAATATAGATTTTTAGGAAATAGGTATTAACAAATACAAAAAAGTACTTTAATTTTGAAATAAGAATTAAATAGTTTTCTTAAGAAATTAGTAATTGAGGGTTAAAGTTAGTAAAATAAAAATAGATTTTTGCAATTAGGCTAATAACAAATTTAATAAAAATTGAGTATTGATTAGAATTTATTCATAAATGATTTGGTTTTGGATTAGATCTTAAGTAAACATTATTTTTTTTAATTACATTCAAAAATTTGAAACATCTGGTCTTCTTTGTAAGGGATGCATAAAGTTAGGTATTATATTAGGTATCAAAGTTTATTTGAGTTGTAAAAATATGAACATTTTCAATTTTATATGAAAGTTTTTGTTTCTATAACTTTATTAAATTTTATAATGTAATCTTCTCAAGTCTTATTGTTTATTTTATATATAATTTCATACATTTATTATAAGATTTAGTAGACAAAAATTGATATTTTAAATTTATTATAAAAATAGATTACAATTAAAATAATAGAATTAATAAAAACATACGAACTTGATTTTTTCAAAATACGAATATTTCAATTAAATTGCTGCACTTACTTTGATCCTTTGCTGATGTCCTTCAACATTGAGAAACAATTGAACAACAAGTGTCACCGTGCCGACGGTGCAGTTGTCACGGTAGCAACTAACTAGATCTTATCTGGTAGCGGCGGCGGCTGCTGATGGCAATTTTTTGGGGGAGGCGCCGGGCCAGCGCCCAGCATCCTCCTCATGGACCGATGGGAGGCACTGATTTCGTCTCGCAGCCAATGGGCGATCAGATTGCAGCCACCCTGGACCCGGCCCCTAATCGATATCACCATTGTTACCATCTCCAGCCACGCCCATCATCAAAATAAAAAACAAAAAAATAAGATGCAAAAGACAACAAGGAGGAAACAAAAGCGCAATTGCTTCATTGATTAATTGCCTTTGTTTCATCCCTTTTATCCGTTATGTATAAATTCGTTAAATTACCTTTTTAGTAATTAAATTTTAAAGATTCTAATAATAAGAAACAAATCTATTTAGATTACTTTAATGAAAAAATAATTTATAAAAAAACTGTATTTAATTAAATGTAAAATCAATGATACTGTAGAAAAAAAACGTACCATTTCTATTATTTCAATTATTGATCAAAATTTTACCTAAAATAATTTTACTGTGTCATTGATTTTTTTCTTTTCTATACTGAGAATGCTGTGAATTTGCACGCATTTTGTGCGTTGCCATGGCGGAAGGAAACGTTTCCTAGGCGCCGCAAAGGGCCGTGATTTCTGGCCATTTTGATTGTCCCGTTTTGACGGAAGCTCGTGTCAAAATTGTCGACGATGACAGTCCGAAATTTTTCGTTTTCCTAAAATTTCCATCAGTTAGTTTTAGTGTAAATTGTCTTCGATTTAGTCGTGTTCCGTGGAAATTCACTGTGTATTCAATCATCATGTCTATGCACTACAACAGCGGCAATCAGGTAAATGCATGCACGATTAATCAATAGATTTGCTTTACTTTATATTCAAAGATAGTCTTTCGTTATTGACGATATTCTTTTAACACTGAAATTTGAGATTCTAATTATATGATTTACATGTTGTTCATTTAGAGATAAATGTGTTTATTAACGTAAATCGTTAACGTTTTGATTCAGCTTCTTATTTCTCTTTAAGTTAAATTTCGTTAGTTCCTTACCAATTCTGAATTACAAATTAAATAATCTGTTTTATTAAGAAAATTATCTATAAAACTTTTTTTTTTCATGTTTTATTGGGTAATTTTGTAAGTCAACGATGGTAAACAAAATCATTATGCCAACAGAAGGAAGTTTATTTGGCGAAATTTGTTGAATGCATTATTAAATCGCGGCCACAAATCTTACGTAATTCGCTTTCGCGTAAAGTAATTTTTCCGGATCACGCGATTTCTTCTATTTGTTTGTTTGCTTTGCAAATTGAGGCAACTCCAAAGTTTCATTTACCAAGAATACAATTGTTTTCTTTATTTTTTTTAGGGGAAACATTTTTTTTTATGTTTTCGAACTGTGAATTAAAACTTATGAATGAAATTCTATACAACATTTATATATCAATTAATTTAGGTTTAAAATCTCGAAGTTAACGATAGATGTTTGGTAAACATTGGAATTTTATTAATATGTCTATTTTCAGTAAATTCAGTCGATTTCACAAATCTAGTGATAATTTTTAATTAAATTGAGAGGTTGGTAATTAGGTAAACGATTCATTCTTTTTGTTAATATTACCAACTGATTGAAAGGCGGAAGTAAAATTATTTCGTTATGGGGAATAATTAATTTTTGTGAATTTAAACTTGTCAATGAATTTGTGTTAAAATCCAGATGTTAATTAACAATGAGATGAATAATTGATACATCTTATACTAATTAATATAAAATCATTAATTTAAATTTTATTTGACGTTTATTCACGATTGTTTTCATTATTACCAACTAATTGAAGTGCAACAATAAAGTTATTTTGTTTTGGGGGAATAATTCGTGTTTGTGTTCTTAACAGTTTATTTCGTAAATTGAAACTTGTCAATGAATTTGTGTTAAAATCCAGATGTTAATTAACAATAATGGGATGAAGATAATTGATCGAGGTAATTGATACATCTTATACTAATTATAATTAATATAAAATCATTAATTTAAATTTTATTTGACGTTTATTCACTATTGTTTTCATTATTACCAACTAATTCAAATGCAACAATAACGTTATTTTGTTTTGGGGGAATAATTTGTGTTTGTGTTGTTAACAGTTTATTTCGTAAATTGAAACTTGTCAATGAATTTGTGTTCAAAATCCAGATGTTAATTAACAATGGGATGAAGATAATTGATCGAGGTAATTGATACATCTTATACTAATTATAATTAATATAAAATCATTAATTTAAATTTTATTTGACGTTTATTCACGATTGTTTTCATTAATACCAACTAATTCAAGTGCAACAATAACGTTATTTTGTTTTGGGGGAATAATTCGTGTTTGTTTTGGTAACAGTTTATTTCGTAAATTGAAACTTGTCAATGAATTTGTGTTAAAATCCAGATGTTAATTAACAATGGGATGAAGATAATTGATTGAGGTAATTGTTACATTTTATACTAATTATAATTAATATAAAATCATTCATTTAAATTTTATTTGACGTTTATTCACGATTGTTTTCATTATTACCAACTAATTCAAGTGCAACAATAACGTTATTTTGTTTTGGGGGAATAATTCGTGTTTGTGTTGTTAACAGTTTATTTCGTTAATTGAAACTTGTCACTGAATTTGTGTTAAAATCCAGATGTAAATTAACAATGGGATGAAGATAATTGATCGAAGTAATTGTTACATATTATACTAATTATAATTAATATAAAATCATTCATTTAAATTTTATTTGACGTTTATTGACGATTATTTTTATCAATTCAACTAATTCAATTGCAACAATAAAGTTATTTTGTTTTGGGGGAATAATTCGTGTTTGTGTTGATAACAGTTAATATTGTGAATGTAAACTTGTCAATGAATTTGTGTTCAAAATCCAGATGTTAATTAACAATGGGATGAAGATAATTGATCGAGGTAATTGATACATTTTATACTAATTATAATTAATATAAAGTCATTAATTTCAATTTTGTTTGACGTACATTTAAATGATTATTTTTTTATGAAAATGACAGATCATAAAATTATATGCGGTTGTTTTTTTTGTTTTGGTTTTTGTTTGCGTATGGTTTTGATTGCTTTTTCTTCATTCTTTCAATACCGATTTGCGCGTGTGTTTGCAATTTGCGCAAACCGTGCGTGCGTGTCAACCCTTCCTGTATGTAATCAATCAAGCGTCTCCTTTCATCCATTCAGCAAGGACGAAAGAGGAAGAGGAGCTCGCGGCCGACCGCAGCCGCCTCCGACCGCCCCACCGCAAAACAAGCGAATACACATATGTAAAAAAAGAAAAAAAAATGTATACGACACAGTCAAAAGAGTCGAACAGAATGACGTCGCAGCGGAACCACCCACGCACGCTTTGATTTGTGCCCTTTCAGTTCGTCCTTTGTTTCGTTTTTGTTTTGTTTTGCGTCTCGGAAGGGAGAACGGTGCAGTCGCGACGACGACGTTTCACTACTCTTGCTTTTGGCTCCAAGTGATTTACCATTCATGGGAAAGGGGTAAATTAATTATTTTTTTTATCATAATTTCATTTCATTCATAAGTGCGTAAATTCTTAAAGTGATTTCAGAGTTTTCGAATAACAAACACGAAACGTATACTCTTAATTAGTACTAATTAGTATCAGAACTTTAGTAGTTAATAAATTAGTTATAACAGTTTGATCTGTCACTTTCATTACTAAAACTAAAATATTTATAGTAGAAAAACACAAATTATTTGCTAATATTTTTTTATTTTCACTAATTTACATTTACAAAAGTATTACGTAAGTTTTTTTTTATTCTCTCTCCATCATGTATGTTGTATGACATGTGTTTGGATGAGATTAGGCCGAAGTCAAAATATATATATTTATTTTTTATGTGTCCGTTGTAACGATGCAATTAATCATGAAGTACAGAGACAGAGATCTCCGTGTTTAAGCCCAATCGCCCCCAAAGTCCACTTGATAAATGACACGGATTAGGATTTTCGCTAGTGCAAACAAACACATGTCCTGTTTGTAGCAAGTGCAGAAGTGTTTGTGCCCTTGAGTCGATTGAGGGTGAAGGGTGTTGTGGAGGGTAGCGGCGCACCGGTGCAGCCTACTAACAAAGTGAAAAAGTTTTCTGGGGTCCGAAATTCAATTGCGCCCATCGGGATATTACCATTACACGCCGCTTAAGTTGTAAACTCCCGAATTGCATTTGCCGGCAGAACGATTCCCCAAAGGGAAAATTGATCATTAACTACGGTGCGAAGTCATCAACTAATCGTAAGTTTATTATTGTTTGAGTAATTACTTTTTTTTTTCACTAATTTTAAAAGTGAATTACAAGAATACTATAAGTCTAATGTATATGCTATTATACTCAAACTATTCCTTACACTTTTAGCTTTAATATGTACTTTTAATTATTTGTTTACTTACTGTATTTTTTGGAGAAATTTGACAAAATCTTCAATTTTTACAGAAAAAATAGTTTTAGCTCTTATTTACATACTATATTGTAAGTTTTTTTTGGCAAGTTTTCGATCAATTCGATCAAATGAAAAGATGCTGAGAAATCTCATTACTTCAAAATTGTCGGCAAATTACAAAAATACCAAAAGTCTCACATAAATACCATTATAATCAAATTATTCTCTGTGTTTGCAGCTTTACATGTATATTCAGTGATTTGTTCATATTTTGTTGTAATTATTGTGAAATTTAATGGAATGTAAAAACATTGATTTTTCGAAAATCAAAATTTTGATATTTCAACTTTGATGGAAAATTACGAAAATACCACAAGTTTCGCACAACTATTATTAGACTATAATTATACCCTACAGTTTTAGCTTTAATTCTCATTTTCAATAATTTGTGTTTTTCTATAAATTCTTTTGACATTCTCAAAACATTAATTTATCGACGCTTTATTATATAATAGTATATTATAAGTATACCAAATAACTTTCCAACAATCAAATTTCCGTGTAGTTTTAGCTTTAATATGCATTTTCAATGTGTAATTGTTATTTTCTGCAGTTTTAACTCAGTTCAAATTTTCTTAAGAAATTCGCTTGTATCAAAATTTTCACATGTCGTGTTTTTACAATTTGATTGTTGAAAATAGTAAATGTGTTCCATGCTAATGGATCGCATTAACAGCGTTTTTTCCTTTTTTAATCAAATTTATGTGCATTCTTTATGTTTTTCGTTTCGTTTCGTCCATCGGAAATAGCTTTGCAACAATTGGTACGAAGCACGGCATCAGTTGTGCATCGATTGTGCATTTTCCATTCCCGTGGAGCCACGAAAATCGCCGACGGACTCGAATTTATTGAATGACGATTTCATTTTGCGTAACCGTGCACCGGCCGAAACCGAATATTACCGTCATGATCATCCCCGTCCTTCGCCGTTAACACGGGAGGACAGGTCACGCGAGCCGCAGCCAAAGCAATTTTACCTAATAATAATACTACCGTACAGACAACATCATCATAATCGTTACGTATTTATGAAGCCATAAATCCAGTTGTTAGAAACCCATTACAGAACATTATATTATCTCAGATTTTTATTAATATCCATGATCAATTTCTTGTTAATCTTTATTATTGTTGATTATAGTTATAGTTGATATATAGTTATATAGTTGATTATAGCATAGTTAACTTTTGTTATAACTCAATTGTCATTTGTTTCTATTTCGCATTCGTTTTTTTAATGCAGCGTGCTAATTGTGTATGTCCCTCGTATATGGATTACTTTCCAACGCCACCTGTTTGTTGTGCCATCACCGTTCCCCCACGATTTCTTTCATTTTCATTTTTTTTTTGTTTGATGAGTGCGAGGGGGCCGTGTCTCCTTAATCCTCGCTATAAATCAGACATTTAAACCATGTACGCGGCGGGATGCGACGCGTCCGGACAATTAAATTTACACCCCCGGATTAACTGGTAACGAGACGAGCCCTCGACCGTTCCCCCTTTCCTCGCCCGAGAATATGCTTCACTCGGACAACCCCTTTTCAATGACAAATATTGAATTGGGATTAGATTTGCGCAGTTGGTTGCCTATAAACGGAGTGATGATCCTTGCATCTTTTCAATTTTTCTGCTCTAAAAATTAAACCATAAAATGATTGTTTCTCTTTTTGTAAAATACAAAAGTAAATTTAGGAATTGGTTAGGACAAGGAAAGAATTTGTTTTAACAAATGGATAAAATTACTTTTTATTAAATATAAAAGTGGACAATTTTTCTTAATATATATTAGTTGTAATATTCATTATTTCTTTGCCATCCTCTCTTTCCTCTTCTTCACGTGCTTTTTGACCTTAACTTTACGCTTCTCGGCTTGCGCCTCTTTGACAGCCTTTTTGCGCGCTTTCTTGTCCTCCAACGATTCGTCCTTGGGCCTGGAGCTGTCCACGAATTTGCTTGATTCTTCGTCATCTTCTTCGTCCTCATCCACCTCCTCTTCGTCACCTTCCTGTTCATCTTCGTCCTCCAGGACCTCGGGTTTATTGCTGGTGCCGCTCAAGTCCGATTTCAATCCGATTAACGTCTTGTAAATCAGATCATTTTCACCGGCTTTCGCTTTGTTGATGTCCCTTTCAACGTCGAGGACTTCCGTCAACCTTTTGGGGATGTAAGAGTTTTTGAACACCTCCTCTTCAATCTGAAATGATTCAATTGGTTAGGTTTTTATGATGATTCTGAGGTAGATTTTATTCGCCGTACTTGCTGCTGATGCGTTAGATCTGATCTGCCCGCGGTGTTCTCGCTGAGCGCGTCCAAACATCTGTCCATGTTCTCCGACGTAATCGTGGGATCGGTGATGAAATCGAAGAGCTCTTTGATGGATAAACATGCGACTTCGTGTTTTCGGAAGAAATCGGTGATGTTCGCGCAATCCTTCCTCAAGAATTCCAGAGCGTGCGGATGATCGTGTTCGACGGATTGACTGACATCGATGATGTACAGCTCGCCGCACATGTAAAGCATATTGAATTCAGACAAATCGGCGTGGACTAGTTTGCAGAGGTTGTACATCTTCCACATCGCCGTGATGACGTCCCTGTACACCTGTCTCGCCTTCGACTGCGACAAGTCGACGTCCTTGAGTTTGGGCGCCGGCCATCCTTCCTTACCGATGAATCCCATCAGCAGTACGTGAGATCTCAGTATAATCGGTTTCGGTACATTCAGACCGTTACTGTGCATCCTCTCCAAGTTACGCATCTCCTTCTCGGCCCACGTCTTCACCATCTTCCTCGGGTTATGTCGGCAATACCCGTGTCGAAATCTGAACTCTCCAGACACATACTTATCGCGATCTTTGAACACCAATATGGATGTCTTGAAGACCTTAACGGCGTACTGATCCCCATCCTTTGACGTTGCATGATAAACGTTGGCCTCTTTGCCAGTGGAAATGCATCCGTTCACCTCTGTGATCAAGTTCTTGTTTATCAATTTGAACAGAATCATCCTAGTCTTTGGATCCATAACCTGCTCAGCTGTGGCCCTATCATGCTTATCTTTTATCCTGATCCTCTCATTGTCCATCCTCTTATCACTTTGCATTAAAACGTTTGCAGCGTTCTTGGGCAGTATATACTTATCCAAATTGATCTTACTAGAATGTTTCGCAAAGAGCTTATCGTTTGGCTGATAACTGTTTAGCTTACTTTGATTACCTGCCGGTTGTCTATTGCTACTGTTACTATTACAACCCTCATAGTAATCGTCGTCATCATCATCATCATCGTCGTCCCAATCATCTTCATAGTAATCATCTTTTTCATCAAAACTTTTGCTTTCTGTTTTCTCGTTAATTTCCAATTTTCCAACAGCTTCTTGTACTTCTTCTGCGTCGCAGTACAATTCCTGATCAGTTAAAGTGGGACTCATCTTGTAACAATATCAAAGCATGTCTTCGTCAAAATTAGAAACGTGCACGCGCTTCTGACGTTTTTTATAATGTTAGGTTATTGCCAATGTTTTTGTCAAGTTTTCGAGGTTGGCATACCTGATGTTTAGTGATTTCTAAATACAGGGTGATTTCTTAGATTATATACACGGAGTGTTTCTTCAAATTATTTTAACATAAATTTTTTTGGACTCGCCAACACCGATCTCTGCTCCTGTAGAGAGACAGGAACAGTCAACCACGTCCTGTTTGGATGTACAAACAACGCAGCATCTACTGTCCACCATCTCTTCTATGAACATACGGTTGCCAACTTCCATAAACTCTCTTTTAGCGGAAAATCGTCCTGAAATTTTTAAGACTTTAGCCAATTTTGTATTGACCACGGATACTTCCTTATAAAATAACAGCCAATCATCACTAACAACCATTCCGAGGTCCCCCCAACATCTTTCGCAGAATCGCCGGGACCCCGATTCGTACTCCACCTATCCTCTAAACTTTCCACTACAATACATATTGCGATTGGCGTAATGCGTCGAAAGGACGCAGCTAAATGGAATTTATATATTAATTATAATTGAAATTAATTAATTTATTCTATTATTTTATAGTTTGTCGATGAATTCGAGCCGAAGAGGTTGAGGAATTGGCAGGTGCCAAAGTGGTATCCGGATGCGCCGATCCCGAGAGCCGGAAAGACCGTCGTCGTTTCGAACGATCGAGGACATCTTCTGCCTGGTATACCGCGATCGCAGGATAATCCATGGGGCAATTATGTGAACACTTGGAATCTTCCCAAGAAGATCACCAGAGAAATAGGTATGAATGATGATGATTCCCAGTGAAATTTGTTATTGATTTGTTTTGTTATTGAAGCAAACCAATTGAGCGCTCCCAACAAGATCCACGTGGACAGCTACAGGTATCGCGTTAAGCAGTACGAGAAGAAGAAGGATTACGCGCGGAAGCATAAGGGATTCGATGGAGGAGACGCGATCAGCGTATCCGGTGATTCGGTGAAGGAGGAACATAGAAGTGAAAAGGATTGCGGATGTTGCGGTCTGTGCTGCATGTGTCTGGCCAAATGCAAGGCGCAAAAGGCTGAAACTAGGAAAAGCAACGAGGAGCAACTCGAAAAGATCGTCGACGAGTTAGCGTCCATGCAAGACGAGCAGGTTCCACTGAAAGACGTAGGTTTTCTTCAAATTATTTATGTTTGTTTAATTGAATCGTTGTTTTTTTAGAAACCGCCCCGTTGTCCCATCCACGATAAATCCCCCTAGTATTTTTCATTTAAATTATAAGTTTATCATTACACAAAATGCTTGCAATGTAAGTAATGCTAATTATGTTATTTGCATATAGAGTGATTGCTTTAGAAATATTTGTAACTATTGTTTATTTAGTGTTTTTGTGTTGGGATACAAAGTTGGATTTGTTGTATTAATCTGTATTCTGAATTTGTTTGTATTTTTGAATGCTGCAAGGATCTTAGCTACATTCCTGGGGCTTTGACGGACGAGCGGCATCGCTTGGAAAGCCACTACGGATTGCAGCAGAGCCTGAGGAGGTGCGACGAGGATAAGACTTCCGGAAGAGGTTTTCCGGTTTACAGGGAGTGCTTCGGAAGTACTATCGGATCGGAAGATAAGGAAGTGATCAGGGAGATGCCGAAACTGGATAAGGTGTACCTGGAGGCGGCCACGAACTTCGAGTTGGCCCGGGAGTTGCACAAAGTGAATCTGGAGCACGAGCCGCTCCCGGACACGGTGCCCAACTATTACTTCAGGAAGATGCAGATGGAACATCCGGACAAGCATCCCGGATTAGCTATCAAGGGGAAGAACTATGCGGCAGCTGTAGGGTATAAACCGCACAGCGGATACGCTCCGAATAGATGCACCAAGATGAAGGTGTTCAGACCGAAGACGTCGAGCACGGAGGCTAGCGAGGTGGAGAGCGTTAATCTGTTCGATAAGAAGTGGAGGTTCATCAAGCAGAACAAGGTTAGACCAATCGATCTGGCGATACGCTGGGATATGAGTCCGGCGAATCCCGGAGACGAGCCGCGACGGCCCAAACATATAGATGGTTCGAACGGATCGCAAGCGCCGGCAGTCTTCTCCATGGTTCACACGCCGAAGACGGGACAAGCGGAGGAGATTTCTGGGAATGCAGAGCCGCTGTTCGAGCGGCCCAAAACCACTCCGGTGACGAGGAAGGAGCAGGAGATTTTAGGTGACAAGAAGTGCTGCATGAATAGGCTGTGCGTGGCGTGCGAGCTTAAAGATCTGCCTGTACCTAGAAGACCCAAGGAGGAGTACAAGATGGCCTTTAAAGCGGGTACTCCAAATACGAGGAGCTCGGAGGGTTCGCAGATCTACGTGAAGGTGCCCAAACAGAAGGAGCCTTACGGAAAAAGGTCGTACACCATTAAGAGTCTGAACGCTCCGTTCAGCCTGAAGAAGGATAGACGCGAAGATTACCCGGATCATTGGAGGTTGGCGAGCGTCTATCAGCATTCCTACAAACCCATTCATCTGCGAAAGAAGAGTCTCCTGCAGAGCGTCTTTCAATAGAACGATTTGTCCGAATACGAAGAGATAGAGAGACACGCGATTAATAATAAATAGGATGGAATGCGTGTAAGTCACGGCCAGTGCACTTGGCATCTGCTGTCGAAGAGGCGATCCCAGCAATCTCCGCGCTCGAGTCCGTTTTATTAATATTAATTATAGGATTTCGCCTTTCTTCCATTCCTGCATTAACCGATTCTACTTTTACTTTTGAAATTCCGAGCGTTTCGTTCCTCTCGCGCAAATTGTTACCTTTTCTTCTATTTCTTTCTCTCTGGTCCATCGCCGTGGAACTCGAATCAGACCATGCGAGTAGTACACTCCGCACGAATCTAGGTTGCAACGGAGCGTTAATAACAAAAGACACTCGCTGATTGAGGATCCGTTACAATCTTATCCACGGACGAGATGATCATCTTCCACACTTTGTCATGTTTTTTTTTCCACTCTAATTTACTTCCCTAAACGAAATTAAAAAAAACAACTATATTCATCGAAGCATAAGATTAAAACTCGTAACTAGATCTCACATACAATTACATTACTTTCTTAATTATACATATATAATTAAGTTCATGAGATGTCTCTGATAGCAAATAGATTACGCAACAATTGTAACGTCAATCTGTCAATTTCATGTTACATGGCAACTGTAAGTTTAATTAACAAGGGCTAACAAAGTAACTGTAGTCAAGTCATATTAGAAGACGTTGCCATGGTATTGGATGGAAACAAAAACAAACTTACTTAAGAAGTAAATTTACATAAGCCATTCTAAACCAATCGACTAAAACTTAAACGAATGTATACATAGAAAATAAGTGTTTTTCAAAATATGATGCATTAGATAAATGGAAATGACAGATGAATATGAATAATAATAAGCAAACAATCAAACAACAAAAACAGAACAAACAAAAGTAAAGAGGCAACGAGAGACGAATGATTAGTTCGTAAATTTCCTGCTTTCCTCTTTCACTTTCTTCGCGTCCGTTTCTCTTAGATTTCCTCTCGCAACGAAAGTCCGAAGACCAATCTTCCGATTCCATTAGCCGCTGCAACGGCAGCAGCTGGCCTTTTTCTGTCCTACGTTTTTACCAAAATTAAAAAATTCATCGGGATTGCCGTTAGAAAGGCGCAATAAAACCGAAAGTTGAGAAAAACTGTAATTTAACTTTTGTAATGTGTGTAACAATTTTATTGCATTATTATACTTTATGATTAAATTATAATAAAAAAAAACATCATATTTAGCTTTCGTAATGAGTTCTTAACCATAATTTGATTGTATTAGATGTGTAGTTAATTTTGTAGGATTATTGAGGGTGAATAAAATTGTTTGAGAGTGTATTAAATTAAATAGATTTATTTTATAACAAAAACAATAAGCTTTAACAAAAAAAAAATCAATAACATTAATAACATTAACAAGTAGGCTGTAAAAAAGTAATAACAAGTTGTGTTTTTTTTTTTTTTTAGTGGTGGGATGATGAGTGTGATGGATGATTTGGTTTTTGTTTTTTGGGTGGCGCGTCACCATTCGCCCCAACGACTAGTGGGGTTTTTAGTGCTTGCTGTGATGGTAGATGATCTTGTAGACTGGTACCTGGACGGGAATTGGTTTCGGGACTGGGATCTGGACGTGCTTCTCAACGTGAACGGGAACTGGTTTCTCGACTGGATATGGAACGGACTTCTCTACGATGTAAGGCACCGGCTTCTCAACGGGAATGGTGATGGTCTTGATGACGGGTACGGCGACGGGCTGTGGCACATGGATGTGGACGGGGTACGGCTGGGGCACGGGTACGGCGACCGGCTTCGGTACCGGCACAGGCACGGAGTGAGGAATTGGTACACCCACGTGCTGGTACACCGGCACCGCCACCGGTTTCGTGATCTCCACAGTTTGCGAGACCACGTGGCCCCCGTGCTCGCCACCGCCGTCGCTGCCTCCCCCGTACGAGTGCTCGTCACCTCCACCGTAGCCGCCGCCTCCAAGGTATCCAGCCTTGGAGACGGTTGCTGAGGACAGCAAACAAACAGCGACTACTGCGATCTGCAAAACAAGTAAGTGACAATCAAAAACATTGCGACGACAAATTCAAATGCAACTCGATTTTCATTTAAACTGATCGCAATAGAAACCAATCAAAATGAGCTAATTGCACGATTCGAATTTGAGCGAATCCAACGGATTAACTCTACTTACGAAAGCTTTCATTGTGGCTGAGTATGAGATGAGGTGACTCGAGGATTAGTGTTAAAAACTAACTGATGCCTACTGGATCGCACCACGACGTATTTATACTCGATACGACTTTCACCGTCACCCCACTAAGCCACCTAAGATCTTCATGCATCGGACGCGAACGTCTCTTCGCCGATTTTTCGACAACGGAATACCCACTTCCGGTCATAATCCAATTTCTTTCTATCTTTCTTTCCATCCATCAGCAACTATCTCCATCACACACACGTAAACTTTCAAAACATATGCTATCTATTACCCAATGCTCCAGTTAATCAAGATCACCATTAGCAACAGCAACAACAACAAAAAACTCATTAATATTCGAGATCTTCTGGTCCACCAACTAATCTGCAATAATTGTCTCATTTTCGCCAAAAAAAAAACAACTGCTGCTGTTAACTGTAACTCATAATTCTACTGTTATATTGTAGTTCATTAAATTTGTGTTTTTCTTCATCTGTTATAATTAATTACATTCTACGTGATACACATATTAATACCATCAATTTTAATCATTACTTTTTATTGAATAATATAAAAACTCGTACAATTTATTCATAAATTATTATTTACAATTATTTTTTGAGCAATTTTCGACAATAATTTATCATTTATTTTCTTTTGTTAAGTATGTTTTTTTTTTTTCAATTTCTACAGCTCATAGCAGGCGACTC